GAAAACAAGAGATCGCCATTGGCGTGCAAACGTCGCACGTGTTCTTCAAATTCCTCCACTGGCACTGCTTCCCCAGGATTGTGGGCGGGGTTGTCTGTGGATTGAAGAAACAACTGTCATTTTCTCAATTGAGCTATCATCAATTGGTTATCCAGTATTGTCGTGGTTTTCCTTTACTACTCTCTGAGATCAAACCCTTGCCACTCTCTCAACCAATCGGATGAAGGAAACCACTTGCTATATGGTCGCCCACATTTTTGCACTGAAATCTTTTTGGCTCCCCATAATTTTCCTTCCCCCAATGAGCCGTTTTGGTAAATTTGTTTTTTTTTTTTTTACTTCACTGCAACGAAAAGGGCGGCAACTTAGTTTTTGGAAGAAAATTTTTCTAGAAATTCTTACCGAAGGCTCCTGATCCACGACCAAGGATTCTTTTTGATAGAGTTCTTCCACGTTTTTGAGGTCTTAGGGCCATCTCTTCCTCGCCATTGCGAGGGCTGCTTTGTCGTCGACGATAGACGAAAATTCCCACTGCTATACATGCAGTTATGATAACAATTAGAACAACCACTACCACGATTGTAACTGTGTGGTCCTTGTTGGTTTCAAAGTCAACGAATCCTTCACTCTCATAATCACCCTCTTTGTCGAACGACCGCTGAAATGCAACGTACTTAGCTCCATCGTCGAGCTTGCCATTGAGAAACTTTTCCACGACTAAAAGAAAAACAAGCAAACTTGGTTAAAAGAGTCAAAATACCTCTTGTCTGACTCTAATTATTTGGAAAAATGGGAAAAAAAAAAGAAGAAAAAAAAAGAACGGGAGGAGGGAGAAAGCAGAGGGAAGCGGCAAGGTTGCTGTGCCAAATTCAGAGTGGCAACTAACTCCACAAATGTTTTTTTTCAATTTTTTTGAACATTTGAAGGTAACTTTCGAGAAGTTAAATCTCTCTTTAGGAGCTCAAGTTTCATGTCATAATATTATTCATTCATTTTTAATGACGCTTACTTCGTATTCCATAAGAATCCAATTGCATAAATTAGGTAAAGCCGCGTCCTCTTTTCTTTCTTTATCGCTCAGATTTCAAAGACCTGATCCGTTTTATCTCCAAGGCGACAATTTTTTTTATCGGTATCACCTCTTTTCTCACCAATGTGTAATGTTGTAAGGATAATTTACATCTTTGTCACTTCTCGGTGTTCAAGAGTTCGCGATAACATTTGTCGCATGCGCACTATCGAAGAGCATTACTTGGTCTTCTTCACTTTCTTCCGGAATTCAAGTGTTATAGTTGCGTCCTACCTCGGTATCATAGTACATACTAAGGCCGTGCTTTCAATGAATGGATCTCATCACAAATCGACATAAATTTTCTCTATAACCCGATCGACATTTTCTCCCATAATGGGTGAATAAATTAATGAGTAAAAAAATAAAAAGATAAATAAAAATATATCATCGCAATTTTTACTAAAGCAATCTCAACGTTTTTTGTGCTAAGTCTGGCCTCTGAACCATGAGCTGTAAAGCCAAAAGTTGCTGAGGCTAACCACAGTGCCGTATTAACGCTAGTTAAAATAATAATAATTATAATAGTAATAATAATTATTATAATTTTAAAAATCCAACATAAACGATATCAATTAAATTACAAAGAAGACCCCTTCCGCTGTAAGTTGCATATACCCAAGGCATTGAAGCCGTAACGCAATTCAAGTGATTCAGAGAGGTTGAATTTTTTCATTTTTTTTCGCATGTGTATGATCAATTCAAATGTCATATCAGATTGATTATGAGTGGTCAAGTCGATTGACTCACCTTTTCTGCGCTTCCTTTTGGCGTCAGTAACACCTTCCGTAGAGTAGTACTTCCCGTCTCCAACAGGAAATGATGTCCTCTTCTCGTTATTGTTTGCAAATTCAGCCGTAACGTATGGTTCCCCTGCCACTCGATCTTCATATTTTCTGGTGACTTTAGCATATTTTGGATCTGACGATTTCCCTTGATCTTGTCCATCTGTAAGTTCCATGACTATCACTTGATACTTACTAAAAATGAAAAATTCAGAAAACACAATTTTTATTTAGGAGGAACTTCTTAAAGCCAGGTAAGGAGTTTCTTAAGGAGACAACCTAAGTGAATTGGCTTTGGCAAAGAAAGAATCAACCGACACCTCACTCTCCTGAAAAAAGTAAGTTCTAAAAAACTCCAGGGAAATTAGCACCAGGGCAGAAGCCACCCTGAGGGTATGGGTTACGACCATCCCTCGTCACTTCCCTTCCAGAGATTAGGCTACGAAGACTAAACAGGAAAAAAACAAAAAAAGGAAACAAAAAAAGTAAAAAAGGAGAAAACTGACGTGACTGGGGCACCGTCACTCAATTCCTGTTTCGGCACAAACGGTATGTTCACTTCCGTTTTTCCAACGTCGCCTTCGTCCGGTTCTCGCGGCTTTGGTGGATCTAACATGGTGAAATAGTAGACAAGTGATTACAAGGTGAAAAGAAAACGTATTACGTTATAGCAGATGCTGGAGGCTTTGCATCTCTTCTGAGAAATATTTAACAAAAAGCAAATTTTTCTGGCAATAAATTTGCTTTGTTATTGAGTGAAATTTCATGGTGACCCCGAGTGAGGCAAAAAGTAAATATCACGATGCAAACAAAAGAAAAACAAAATAAGGTAAAAGAAGATGACCTTTTTCCTTTCTTCCTTTTTTTTTTTTTCCAAACATCAAGTACAATTTAACATTTACACTTTCATTGATCGGCCATTGTGCACGCATAATTGATGTTCATACCTAAATCGGCAACCTTCTTGATTCAAGTCATATCTCTGCACTATTTAAGATGAAGCGAGGGGCTCTCGTGCAAGTAATTTCATATCACTTATTAAATGATTTTGCCACTTTAAAGCATAGTCATTGCGAAAATTCATTTCTACCCTCAACCATCCCTTTCCAAAATTATCTGATAAAAATAGCACGAACGTAAAAAAAAAAAAGAAAAGTAATTAACCCAAATAATGGTGTACACAACTTTTAAAAATGATCCCAGGCACAAATCAGACAAGTAATCCACTAAACGCTTTCCAACCTATTTTGTGTTTTCCAAAATAGCATTTTCCGTGAAAAACGGACCTTTTAGGCATATTTTTCATTTGATTCCGCAAAATATCGTGCTTTTTTCCAGACAAAGTGAAATGTTGGCTTCAAAGCAGCACTATTTGGGCAAAAAACACGGAAATTTCTCCTGTGTAATAGAAGCAAAATGCTTAAGTTTTCACCGATTAAGAAAATTTGTTGCTTCAAAAGAGCAACATTTTGTATAATTTAACGGTAAGTTAAACGTAGGTGCATTTTACTCATACAAATATTCAATTTCTTCCTATATAATGCTCTGCACGTTTAAGAATGGAACGATAAAGTCGTTGATTTTAGCCCTTAATATGTTAAAGCGGTTTTTTTTTTCATTTTTATTTGACATGGTATCACGAACTGTATAATGCAGAAATTCTGCATGGTTTGACGTCCAATGCTGCAGAAATTCTGCATGGTGTGGCGTCTAATGCTGCAGGAATTCTACGTTGTACGACGTTAAATGCTACAGAAATTCTGCAAAGTTTGACAGCCCGAGCGTGCAAAAATTCTGCACGCCTTGACGTCCAATGATGCAGAAATTCTGCAAGGTTTGACGTCCAGTGCTGTAGAAATTCTGCACGCCTTGACGTCCAGTGCTGCAGAAATTCTGCACGCCTTGACGTCCAGTGCTGCAGAAATTCTGCACACCTTGACATCCAGTGCTGCAGAAATTCTGCAGGCAATGACCTCCTGACTTAAAGAAATTTTAGGTGTTGCAAGGTTCAACGCTGCAGAAATTCTGAATCGTTGCTTTACCATTCTCAAAAAATGAAAGACAAATTGTAGAGGGCCCAAGCATACCAACAGTTTCGATCAGTTTTCTTTTTATGCTTTTTCTATTTTTCAGCGATCATCGTTGAAATAACAATACTGTGCATGCTGATGTTTTTTGAATGACAGGATAAACTTGCGAAAATAACTCCACGATTGGAAACTAAAGGCTATTAACAGAGGCCCATACCCGCTTTATTAAACAGAACTATTCATAAATCAGACTTTTAATCAATTGCCAAAAGGTAAGTTGTTGAAAGGAATTAATTTTCTTTTCCCTACAAGAAAAAAAAATCGTTTGGTTGAATTATTGTACACATTCAGGATGAGATCCTAACACATTTAAGATTCTTTTAAAAGTTTGTTTTCAAATTTTTTTAAAATTTCGTTTAATCAAAGAAAAGATGGAAGTAATCCTGTGTTGGCATAAGGAGAGCTCATCTGTTGCAGAATAAGATGATCCGTTCATTTTTAAAGAAATTTAAAATTAGATGACCTTGGAATGAGGACACTAAAAGCCGAATTTACATCACCATCACTAAGTAACGATATTAATTCATATGAGATAAATTTTTTTCCACGAAGTTACCCGTTGAGTGATTTTCATTTCAATTGACGATACAAGGTTAAGATTTTTGACTCCTCTTCTTTCTGTTCACAAGGCGATGCAGTACCGTTGATCCAATAGTATCCCGGCAAGAAAATTACTCTTTTACTGCTCACACATAGATGTCTAGGTGTCATTTGCCTTGAAACAGACCAGTGTACAATTACAGGGATTTGTAAGGCCTCCTTCTGTATGTATGGATCTGAAAACTTTTGCGCGAATAATGTTTTACTGAAGTTTAGCTTAACTGAACCTTTTGTATGACCGTGGGTTTACTGAAGCAAATCGAAACGCATCCCTTCAGTGAATTCGTTGGAACTAATTCGTGCTGAGAGAGGACCGGTAAAGACATTGCAGGCCTACGACGAATTTTCGTAAAATCAGTTTACGCGTCACGGATATAAAAGGGAAAATTTCTAATCTCTCCTCTTGTGTGCATGGTTTCAGGGAAATCTTGAGGTTTTCACGCTATGAAAAAATGTTCAGGGTTTAAGAATACTTCAGGCCTCATACAATTTCGTAAATCCACAAATAACGTTAACCTTTCAGTAAAATTCACGCGTCGCATTTTAACTTTGGCCTTTATCACGCGTCTCGTATAACCCTTAGCGATGCACCAGTTTATTCATACCTTAAGTTTCCTCTAAGAAAGTGATTCTCCAGAGGGTCCAGCAAAGGAATGTGATGACTTTTGCAAAGATTCCACGCCGATTATTTTTGGAGAAATGGTCAACTCTTGTTCCTGTTCTGTAAAGATACCTAGCTACTTGATTGTATTATTTTAGTGTACCATACTTCCAATACTCCCATTCCCATTATCTTTCGGAAGCATCTGGCGTGTGAAGAATTTAACGGACGCAAATGAGATGTGAGTTAGTTCAAAGACAAATTATTTTCAAAGCTGACAGACCCATAAATCGCGAACTCGTGTCTTCTCATCATTGCCTCTTTTGTGACAAAATTTAGGGAGAAATTAAGAGCGGCGAAGAGAAAGTCGCAAACAACGACATTTCCGTCTGAGGTTTTCACACCATGAAATCAATCAAGAATGTGACATTTTCCCATGCGTACTAAACCCTTTTAATCTCAGAAATTTGAGGGTTTTTTTTTTTATTATTAGTCTTATTATTGTTTTTTACCATATTAAGGAAACAGATCTATTTTTCTTCGTCCCGGCGGGCTGTAAGCACACTGGCGGCACATTGGGCATGCACTCAATTATGATTCATTGTAAAACTAAAGAATAGCGACACCGATTTCGCTTAATGAATACTGACCTTCACAGGCTTAGCGCTCACGGTAGGCCTAGTTGAAGATATGAAGTCTCCATTCAAAGTATTTCGATTAGAACTCGTAAGCTGTGCACTGTGCAATTTCACCAACGAGAGAGAAAAGTCCCTTCAACCTATTGTTTTACAAACCGCCAACATCCGCTCATAATATCCTGATAATCGTAGAATTGGGCTTTAGTCAGTTTTGTTTGCTATGCGCTCTTGTCAGACTCTGGGTGGAGTTAACTTGTATATTTTAACCGATGATGGCGAGCACACTGGAAATATATCCCAGTTCTACGAGCCATGATGATTTTTACGATTCGGGAATTCACCAGAGGAAAGACTTCCCAATGAAGATCAGTGGGTTGACTTCGATGACTCAATCAATTCTTTGAATGCAGGATCTTTCATTTATGGAGAAAGAATTCCGGATTTAGAGAGTCAATTAGAAATTGAAGGTTAAGTTAAAACACCTGAATACAAAGTATCACAAGCAGTCAATTCAGTGTTCATAACTTTTAAAATTTCAAGGTTGATAAGAGGTCAGAAGTATGCAAGTGTGACAGGTAACGCGAACTTCAGTCGTAATGTATCGTAACGATAGATGTAATTTCGTGTTATCAACTGAGTTGATAGCGTAAACTGGCCACCGTAAAGAGTTTAAAGGCTTACGTTTCGAGCGATTAGGTAACGATAAATAGTCTGAGCGAAACTTTGTTTGCCAGGCACAAGTTTGCGATCTCATTGCTATAAATACAATTTTACCAAACGCTTATCGAATCGGGTCTGCCTAATGTGCGAGCCAGCGAGTCATGCGAGTCACTGTGCGAGCCATGCGAGTCATGCGAGCCAGGTTGCGAGCCATGCGAGTCATGCGAGCCAGGGTGCGAGCCATGAAAAATGAAAAATAAAAATATATCAAATAAAAAATTAACATGTATGTAAAATATATCGTACAATACTACTTACTCATGAGTCCATGCGCCATTTTTGATTGTTTTCAAACCCAGTTTCTCTCGGACAGAAGTATATATTAGAGCCCATTTCAGACTTTTTCCATTTCAAACAAGACATCAACCGTAATTCCGTTTATTTTGGCGACCAAAAAAGTAAAAAGGAATTCAAATCAATAATGATGGATGCGTATAATTCTCCTACCTCTTTGCAGGCAGTAGATGCAGAAAAACGACTTGTAAAACTTATTGAAAAAAAAATCAACAAATGTAAAAAAAATGAATTCTTTTAAGGCATGGTGGTGGCGAAGAAAAGCGCGTTGGCAAAAATGGTGCCGCACACAGTCATCGAGCGAAGCATCCTCTGCGGAGGTGGCAAATGCAAAATCTTTGCACGCGTCCGGATATAGGAAAAGTCTGCTGGACGTGGTAACCGCGGAATGCGCAAGCGCTGTTTTGGAGGGTGCAGAAAACAAGAGACAATCCCTTGGCCTAAAGACAGTAGGTCGTGGCCCTTCCGTGGCAGACCGCTCTGATAAGCAATCCCTTAGTATGGCCAGAGCGAGGGAAGCGTCGGCCGACGCAATTCAACAAATCGCAGAGAAGGCAGAGGTTATAATTGATGATGACTTTGCATTGGAAACTGACGACGTCGAAAATGCACAGCAGCAGTTTAAAATCAACACAAAAGACACTCACAGGGCGGACAAAAAAAATCAAACAAAACAAAAAAGTAAACAAGTTAAGAAAGTGAAAGATGGGCACGTGACCAAAAAACAAAAGAAATTATTCCACGACAAGGTTGAAGGAGTTCACATGGACCTACTTCATTGTGATTCCTCTATGACCGAATTCACGTTCAAAGTGCTTTATACAATGGTGTATCTCGAAGAGATTTGCATCAGAAAGGAATCTGCCATCTGCTCATCTGTCTGGTGCAAAAAGGAATGTCACCACCTGATGTGGATTTTCCACAATTTGTTCAACTTTGATAAAGAGCAGCCGATTATGTACCAGTCAAAATTCACTGATCAACAGTGGAAACAAATAATTGAGGCATTCCCAGAAAACGTCCCACTGCCTAAAGTGACTTGTCCTTCAGAGGATGAGCAACAATATACGATAAACAAAAGAACATCTAAAAAGGACGCTAAATGCGCCACCTGTAAAAAAGAATTATCAGAGGGTAATATCCAAGCCACAACAGAAGGCCCTTACAGGACAATACAGAAGTCCTGGATTAAAAGAACATTCTTCTTTTGCCCTCGTTTGCAGTGCATGGGAAAATTGCCGAGGAATTCTTTATTTGCCCATATAAAACTGGAATGACACTGTTAATCGAAACACCTTTGACTGAACAGCAAAAGAAAGAAATAGACTTGAAAACTTGACTTATTTAACTAAAATATCACCCGCCGCTCTCAAAAACATCATCACGGACGGTGGGCTGATCATTTGTCAGTTTACATGTTCAAAAACATCTCAGTAAAATGGCACCTGTTGCATTTGCGAAGTGATCTTTTTATGCCTATCTACTATTAACTTTTCAAACGAGATATTTCAACTCTGCAAAGCAAGACTCTCACCTTGCAATTGTTAGTAACCAGCTAAGTAAAATAAACCTAGAAAATCAAAACAGTCAAGAGAGTAAGTCAGTTCGAGTTATACCATGGATTCCCGATTTCTTGAACCTCCCAGACAAACAAAAAATGGTTCCAGAAATATCTGGATGAGGTAAATTTCTCCTTTCTTTGTTTGCCTCTGTTTTGCTAATTGGACATAAAGATTGCTCAAATAACAGAAGGTATTATGAAATCGGCGGTTCCAAAAAATCTGGATTATACTGTAATTTTCCATATTGTAGGGAAATTGTGAGCAGCAGCACCAACAATAATAACAAGAACAAAAAACAACAACAACAAAAACATCTCTGTCTCTAAAGACTACAAAGAATGCGTGACTTCGATAGTGTTATGTAATCTATACAGTACTGATGTTATCTGAACATTGATAAATCGTTTTACTACCAAGACGCATCTTTGAAGGTATTTTTCTTCGACATTTTCTCTCCTTTCAAAACATAATATAACAGATCTTAAAATAAATAATTAAACAAATAAATAGCACGAGATAAATACAGTTACATCACGTTTTAGAATCATCTATGAAATTAAAACCGTCGCTACATGTCGCTAGTGTCACTCGCGTCATGTATCATTTAATATACAGCATTATGTGATTTTTTCTTACGTTTAAATTGTGGCTCGCCTGACTCGCATGGTTTTTCTTACGTAAAAACCGTGGCTCGCACCTTGGCTCGCATGGCTCGCATGTTTTTTCTTACGTTAAAACCGTGGCTCGCATGACTCGCATGGCTCGCATCGTGACTCGCATGACTCGCTGGCTCGCATATTAGTAAGACTCTATCGAATCGTCATCTCTGAGTCTATCACTTGGAGATATAGAACCCATAAACATTTGATAAAAGCACGTTTTAGGTCAATTTTGTTGTTGCGAAAATTGATATGATGCATAATTCACTTCGGTTGAATTACACTTCGATAAAAATTAGTGAAATATTTCAGATTTCTTGGATTCCAACGTTTTTTTCAATACAGAACCCGGCCAAAACCAGAAGGCGCCCACACAATGGCTTTGTAGAGTGGGTCTTCAGTACATTATCCCTTCCATTGGTTAGAGACTTATTAGGCAACACTGCACGGTTTGATTTTTCTTATTCTAGAAACAGTTGCAGCTGACAGAGAGAGAGGATCGTTTTTCCTAGAAGCTTATTTTTGCCCTTTAATTGAGATACACATGTAGTGATATGACTTAAACTGTATGTTATATTGCTTACTTTTTTAACAGTTTAATATTCGAATTTTATCCTGTGGCATGAAGCCATGTGCTAATTTAGGTACATAATTTCTGTTGAAAGTTAATTGACAGAATATTTGTGGCATCTGTTATTGACTGGTTAGAGAAAGACTGTTATATTACTGTATCCATGAATGAATTTCTGCAACACCTAGCGGATTAAAGGATGCAGAATTTCTGCAACATCCAGTGTATGAGTAGTCACAGTGTTTCTGTGACATTCAGCGTATGAGTGCTTGCAGAATTTCTGCGATACCTTGTGAATGAGAGGTTGCAGAATTTCTGCGACACCCAGTGTGTGAGTGGTAGCAGAATTTCTGCGACACTCAGTGCATGACAGGTTGCAGAATTTCTGCAACATTCAGTGACTGACTGTTAGCAGATTAGAAGGATTACCTATGCATCTTTTCATGATTGTCCATCAACACATAGTTTCTTACGGACACGCTAAATATTGCAGAGGAAAATGTAAAATTTTCAATTTGTTAAATTCTGTCCACTAGATTTGATTATTTTTAAGTGATTACCAAAACTTGCAGAGGAAAATCATTAATTTACCCAAAAATGTGCTATTTTGAAAAACACAAAACAGTTTGGAAAGCGTTACTGGTGCCGTTCTTTATTCATTTTTGAAGAAAATAGCTGCCTCACAGCCGTCTTGAATGGCGAAAAGACCAACTGACTAATTAAGTAGATGATTCCTTCTAAATGTGTAATTCAGTTCATTGCTTTATATCACTGTGACCTGACAGATTTACGCTTACCTAAATTTCCACTTGAAACCATTTAAATTGCTTCCTTACCTTCGGTTGTAGCAGATTTAGGACTACTTGCTGGACCCCTTCCCTTCACGGTTGCAGCCAGAACTCGGATTGTGTATTCAGTAGATTGCTTGAGTCCTCCAACAACCACTTTGCTAATATTTCCTAATACCTTGTGTTCTGATATTTTTCCTTCACCAGAATAATTGTAAAGTATGACGTACTCCGTTATAATACCATGCTGGAAATCTTTAGGAACCGGCTCCCACGTCACTTCGATTCTACTGCTGTCGAATGTCGTTACGGTGACTGATTGAGGAGGTTTCTCAGGTTCTGCAACAAATAACAGTTTTAAATCACTGGTTATTGTTTCTAATTTTGAACATGATATGACGCCATCCTAACATATGTAGAGTCGTGATTGGGCTACTTACATGCAGTAAATCAAAATAATGGTAGAAGGGGAAAATTCCACGTTGTCATGAAAAATCATTATGTTTTAAACATAGCTGAGAGCGTCAATAAATTTTGTTTTTGAAGGAAAAGGGAAATTAACATGATTTTCACATAATACGGGGGAAGTAAGAAATAAAGTTTAGTGTCAGAGATTATTCAACGTCAATTGATTTCCGGTTGATTTCGCGATAAAGTGATAGATAATTAATACATTGAGAAGGATAGGATCACATTATACATTTAAAAGAGAGAGACCAGAGTGTGAGAGTAGTCCTGTGTAAGATAGAGGGAGAGCAATTTGATCAGAGTTAAAGGTGAAGTTTCAGAACACAGCGGACTTGTCAGTCTCATTTCCGACACTGGTGCAAAACACCATTTTTAGGACATCCCTGTCCACTTTCCTACATTTCAGTATGTAATTCTGTCTGTCTACCATAAAGGTGGGGGTAAAATGCTTACGAAGGGCCTAAAATCTAGGAAAGAAATTTCAAAATCGAACAAGCGTAGATAAATAAATAAATAAATAAATGGATAAATGAATGAACGAATGAGCAAACGAATGAAGAACATAAAGTGGTGGACACAGCGAGTTTTATATCTTTCACGGCGTTCTGCTTGCAAAAAAATCAAAGCCATTTTTACTCACTGTCTTCGTCTGTTCTTTCTTCGATGGGTTCACTTGGTGGCCCATCTCCAACTCTGGTGGCAGCTAGGACCTCAATTTTGTAGACTGTGAACTTATCAAGTTCCTTCAATTCATCAGATCTTGGCGTAACTTTTGTCTCCTTGTAAGTACCATCCGTTAATTTTTTGTACCTGACAGTATAGCTTATGATTTCACCATGTCGCTGGTCTTCACGCACAACATCCCAGTCAACCATGATGCTGGTTGAACTAGTGAAACGACCTCGTACCCTCTGTGGAGGACCACTCGGCCCTGGGCGAAAGGGAGGAAACAAGGCAAACGTTATTAAAAATTTCACTAAAAGTAAATGTAAGAAAAAGAAATATTAGTGGGCATGCTCTTTCGTCCAGTTCCCACTCTATAAAAACGTCAATCTGTAGAGCGATAGGAGCTTGACAGAAAATTAATTAAAGCGTGTAGATAAGTCAGGGTGTAAAATTGCGTCTAATACAGACGCCAATGCGACTAGATTTTTCACTTTGGCGACCAAATCCTGAAAATTAGTCGCCAAATTGTCGACTAGAATGTTTTATCATAACCTTACCTAAAGATATAGTGAATTAAAAAGATTTGCAAAGATAAATCCGCGGTAAACTTCCTCGTTAAGTTTGTTTCCAAAACGCAGCACATGCATTACGATCGATAACTAGACGCCATCTTAGATTTAGGTGAGCTTTAATGTTGTATATCATCCATCCTAGTGTCCACTTTGTAGTACGTTAAGGATCTTTTCCCTAACTTAATTTCTAGAACGATGACAGCGTAAAAAAATGTTTTGTTTGTCTTTGAAAATGACGACCAACTTTTTTTTAATTGGCTACCACGTTGAAGAATTTAGGAGCCAAAAGGCTATCAGAAAAAGAAAAAAAAAAAAAAAAAAAAAAAAAGAATTTCACGCCCTGTAAGTTCATTAGCTCTTTGGTTTAGAGGGTTGTCACATCCAGTAAAGTAACTATGGTTAAATCGCCCTTCTTTGAAAACAGAACAAAAAGTACGTAAAATAATAATAAAATACTAACGATAAAAAAAAAAAAGTATACATAAAGCCGGCGACACACCTGGCGATTTCTTACGCTGATCACGGCGAATTTGATCTCCAGCAAAAATCGCTCGCGATTTTCGCCGCGGATCGCTGCGGACACACTTGGCGATTTTTTTCGCCGATCGCAACTATGTGGTACTTTAGCCTTGATGCCAGGTTCCATCGGGTGACGTTTAAAAATTGTGCGCACCAATGTAAACAAACAAAATGGCGACAGCGAAGTAAAAAAGAAATGTTGGCTACTGCCATAGTTTTGCAACTAAAGCGCTCCAGGATGCGTTCTGAAAGGCGGGACAATAGAAAATTATGGTCGAATACATAGATTTATTGGGACGCAGTCTTCCTTGAGACGATTATTGTATTCGCTCGACGTTACATCAAATAAGCATGGCTTTTCTGACCACAGTGTGATCAAATTGACTTCCTTTTCGGTGCAGAAACAATTTTCGGTCCCTTCCGCCATTTTGAAAAGTCATATGACAATATCGCCCAACTTGATTAGTTAATTTTACTACCGACCCGCAATGGAAAGGGTAGAAAATCGCAGAAATGGGTAGACTTGGCGAATGCCGGCGAATTTAATCACCGATATCTCACATGCCAGATATCGGCGATTTTTTTGACGCCGATCGCCGCGATGGGCGTCTAAAATCGCTAGGTTTGTTACCGGCTTAAGAGACTTTCTCGTGCTTTCGGCGACAGAGGCGAGTTTGAAACAAGGAGAAGCGTGACAGAAGGATTATTTTCCTCTTAAGCAGCTTCCCATTATTTGCGAATATCAACAAACAGTGCTCCTCGTAAAGTTGGATATCACCTGTCGTGCCATTTTACTTCCTTGAATGGGCGGACATTATCAGGTGTGTCTGTTTAGAATAATACTGAGAGCATTCTTAAAGGGAAAGCTAGGTAAAAGTTGATCAATGTTCAACGCTTTCCTTTTACCAACGCCAGTAGTTGGCAGGCCCTTAAATGGTGGTAAAGAAGCTCACAGATCAAAACAATTAGGAAGTTGAAGGGAAGCCTGAAAGTTGGTGCATTCGTTTAGTATTAGCGACCGCTAAATAGGGGGTCTGCGTTGCAAAATTATACTGTAAGCAACTTCAGGACTTTTGAGAGGCAGCAGCTTCACCAAAAACGGACAAGAAAGGTTTGCCTAGACATTACCGAACTGCTCTGTTATCTAAAATCGTTTTATATTGTGCTGGTTGATATAGTACCTTGTATTCAACAGTTAACTGTTATGCCATAAGCGCACGTCGGATATCATAAGACGCTTTCACTAATTTCGCATCCAACACGCGCGAATGTAATAATCATTTATTAAATTCAATAAAATCCTGGACGTCTGGATATTTGGGGTTTTTTTTTTCAGCTCCACAACATTAAGCGCATTGCTTTTCCATATAAAGGTCACTCGGATTATAAGCTGTATTGTGTAAGCCAATCAGAACACTAAAAATGCAATATTGGGAGTTGAAAATTTAGTAACGGAAATTATTTATGATGAGTGTCCTTTCGAAGGTCGCATAATAATAAAGTAAAGACTTACTGTCTTCGTTCGTTCTAAATTTCTTTGGGTTACTGTATATTCCGTCTCCCTTGATTGTGGATGCCAAGACACTGATGTTGTAATACATATCCTTTATTAGGCCAGTCAGGTTCACGTACATCTTAGGAGCACTAACTAATGTAGAATTGATAGGCCCACCAGATCCATTTCCAAGTATCACCCGATAGCTGACGTTATAAGAAATAATGATACCATTCTGTTCAGCTCTCGAAACCGCTTCCCACATGACAAATATGCTTGTTGAAGTTGTGTTGCCTAAACTCAAATTTTGAGGGGCACCACTGGGTTCTGAAATAAATAAAGAGGAAAATGCCGATCCATACATCCAAATGTTAGAGGAGCTACATTAAGACATTTAAGGGAAAGGGGGAAGGGGGGGAGGGGGGAAGGGGGGGAGGGGGGGAGGGAAACGGGAGTCAAGGTTATGGTTAAACATTATCCACGTAACGACTATACCTCAATTCAGGTTGTCAGACCATCAATCAGTGAACATCACTAATTAATGGGAATTTAGCAAAGGACAGTCCACCGGTGGCTCCTCTTGTCCACTGTTTCCTGGTCGAACTGGAATCTGAAATGTTGGTTTTGTGGGGGAAAAACCGGTGGACCCGGGAAAAAAGGCATCGCGGTAAGGATAAGAACCAAAAGAAAACTTGACCCACACGTGACGCCTATGGCGTCACAGGAAAATAAGAAATATATGTCAGCAATAACTTACTGTCTTCCAGTGTCTCCACAACCTGGGCACCACTTGCCGGTCCATTTCCAATTGCGGTAAATGCTAACACACTAATGCTGTAGTTTGTAAACTCATTCAGATGTTCTAAAAACATTGTTTGTTTTTCATTCTGTTGCTCACTGGTAATACTGCGGAACTTGGGCACTATGATACCATTCGGTAAGGCTTGATAATTTACTTTATATCCTTTGATGATTCCATTTCTATCATCAGCATCCACAGGATCCCAAGAAACGGAGATACTTTTAGAGGATGTTACAGTAGCTGCCACTGTCTTAGGTTGGCCGTTGGGTTCTAAAGGCAAAATTATGATGTCGTGAAATCCAAAGTCTCTTAACAGATAACATTAATTCAGGTGAAACAACATACCCCCAACTCACTTTATAAATTAGGCTAGGTACCAAAAGACGATATTTCATGGCCGCACGAGAACTAATACTTTATTCAAGGTCTGATAACATCAACACGGCAGGGTAAATACGTACCCACTAGAGGATATATCCTGTATTTTGTTGTTATTATTTTACAGATATTTGGGTGAAATATTAAATGAAAATACTTTTTTAAAATACATTTGGAAACCATCAAATGCAAAGATCATGTTTAGGTTGCCTTCAACATAAGAATTAAAACAATTGCTCTTGAAAATGTAGCTTTTTCTCTCCGAGAAACAAGTTGGATTCAATCACTGAAATGTTCCTAACGAATGCGATTCCTTCACGACAACTAATAAAACATTGCATGATGCAAAAATACAGAGGACTAAAAACTATCTTCTTTACGAGAAGCAGCTACGAAGGATGAACAGAAAGAACGTTCGACCGAGTGCAAAGTACCCCACAGCGATAGCACGTCAAAATAGTTAGCGAAGTTGTTTCCATTAAAGTTACCACAAAACAAATGATATTACGTGAGGTTGATATGTTAGCTCATTATCTGTTCATTTTATAATAATTGAAAGACATAAGAACTCAAGCTTGGGAGACATTTAGATTTACTCTGTAAGGAGAGAATCATACAGTTTTGCTCAAGTGAAAGGTCTTAAGAGAATGATTCTTCTCTATTGTTTTCAGACAATGCCACATAGCTTAAAAACGCGCCCCGAATTCAACTAAAGCTTTAATGCAATTTGTAGTAGGGAATACAAATTTTCTATATATAATTCAATTCTAACTGTCATTCCACTTAAAAGAATTCCTGGTATCACGAGTTGTGGTATCCACCTTCTGAAACTTTGGTCATTCAAAAAAACAAAACAACAATAGAACACAGGCCTTCATATAAGAAGGCTCCGCAAGAGCTATCTACATGTATTTCAAAAGCTAGATTCCGATGGTTTGTAAAAATTAAAGAGTTGGTCGAGTTCAAACAAGCAATAAGCCTTTAATTCCCGCTTCAACTCCAAAAAAAAGATTACCCTCGGTTACATATCATACCAGAATATTAGAAATAAATGTCAGTAATAACTTACTATCTTCCAATGTCTCCACAACTTGGGCACCACTCGCCGGTCCATTTCCAATTGCAGTAAATGCTAACACACTAATGCTGTAGTTTGTAAACTCATTCAGATATTCTATAAGCACTGTTTGTTGTTCACTCTGTTGCTCACTGGTGATATTGCGGAACTTGGGCACCATGATACCATTCGGTAAGGCTTGATAATTTACTTTATATCCTTTGATGATTCCATTTCTATCATCAGCATCCACAGGATCCCAAGAAACGGAGATACTTTTGGAAGATGTTACAGTAGCTGCCACTGTCTTAGGTCGGCCGCTAGGTTCTAAAGGCAAAATTATGATGTCATGAAATCCAAAGTCTCTTAACAGGTAACATTAATTAAGGTGAAACAACATACCCCCAACTCACTTTATAAATTAGGCTAGGTACCAAAAGACGATATTTCATGGCCACACGAGAACCAACACTTTATCTTAAGGTAGGCTAACATCAACACGGTAGGGTAAATTCGTTCCAACTAGAAGATTTATAGTGTATTTTGTTGTTGTTGTTTTACAGATATTTGGGTGAAATATTAAATGAAAATACTTTTTTTATTACATTTGGAAACTATCAAATGCAAAGATTATGTTTAGGTAGCCTTCAACATAAGAATTAAAACAATTGCTCTTGAAAATGTAGTTTTTTCTTCGGAGAAAAAATGTGAATTCAATCACTGAAATGTTACTAAAGAAAAAGAGTCCTTCACGACATCTAATAAAACATTGCGTGATGCAGAAACACAGAGGACTAAAAACTCTCTTCTTTACGAGAAGCAGCTACGAAGGATGAACAAAAAGAACGTTCGATCGAGTGCAAAGTACCCCACAGCGATAGTCACGACTAAATAGTAAGCGAAATTGTTTCCATTAAGGTCACCACAAAACAAATGACACAACATAAGGTAGATATGTTAGCTTGTCATCTGTTCACTTTATAATAATTGAAAGACATGATAACCCAAGTTTGGGAGACATTTATATTCACTCTGTAAGGGGAGAATTTTAAAGTTGTGTTCAATTAAAAAGTCTTAAGGGAATCATTCTTTTCTATTGATTTTCAGACAATGCCACATAACTTAAAAACGCGCCCCGAATTCAGCTAAAGCTTTAATGCAATGTATACTAATGAATACAAAATTTTCTAGAATGATTAATTCTAATTGTCGTTACATTGAAAAGAATTCCTGGTATCACGAGTTGCGGTATCCACCTTCTGAAACTTTGGTCATTTGAAAAAAACAAAACAATAATAAAACACAAGCCTTCATAAAAGTTAGCACCGCCAGAGTAATCTACGTGTATTTGAAAAGTTAAATTCTTATGGTTTGAAAAAATGAAAAAGGTGATCGAGTTCAAACAAGCAATAAGACTATAATTCCCGCTTCAACTCCAAAAACAAATTACCCTCTGTTGCATATCAAACCAGCATATAAGAAATAAATGTCAGTAATAACTTACTGTCTTCCAGTGTCTCCACAACTTGGGCATCACTTGCTGGTCCATTTCCAATTGCAGTAAATGCTAACACACTAATGCTGTAGTTTGTAAACTCATTCAGATATTCTATAAGCACTGTTTGTTGTTCATTCTGTTGCTCACTGGTGATATTGCGGAACTTGGGCATCATGGTACCATTCGGTAAGGCTTGATAATTTACTTTATATCCTTTGATGATTCCATTTCTATCATCAGCATCCACAGGATCCCAAGAAACGGAGATACTTTTAGAGGATGTTACAGTAGCTGCCACTGTCTTAGGTTGGCCGTTGGGTTCTAAAGGCAAAATTGTAATGTCATGAAATCCAAAGTCTCATAACAGATAACATTAATTCAGGTGAAATAACATACCCCCAACTCGCTTTATAAATTAGGTTAGGTTCCAAAAGACGATATTTCATGGCCGCACGAGAACTAATACTTTATCTTAAGGTCTGATAACATCAACGCGGTAGAAAAAATTCGTACTCACTAGAGGATATATCATGTATTTTGTTGCTGTTGTTTCACAGATATTTGGGTGACATATTAAATGAAAAAAACATTTAAAACATTTGTAAACCATCAAATGCAAAGATCATGTTAGGTAGCCTTCAACATAAGAATAGAAACAATTGCTCTTGAAAATGTAGCTTTTTCCTTCCGAGAAACAAGTTGGATTCAATCACTGAAATGTTACTAAAAAAAAGAGTCCTTCACGACATCTAATAAAACATTGCATGATGCAGAAACAAAGAGGACTAAAAACCCTCTTCTTTACGAAAAGCAGCTACGAAGGATCAACAGAAAGAACGTTAGACCGAGTGTAATGTACCCCACACCGATAATCATTATGGCCACCAAAAAACAAATGACACAACGTGAAGTAGATATGTTTACTTATCATCTATTCATTTTATAATAATTGAAAGAAATGAGAGCCCAAGTTTAGAAGAGATTTAGATTCACTCTGTAACGGGAGAATCTTAAAATTGTGTCGAATTAAAAAGTCTTAAGGGAATCATTCTTCTCTATTGTTTTCAGACAATGCCACATAACTTTTAAACGCGCCCCGAATTCAGCTAAAGCTTTAATGCAATGTATTGTAGTGAATACAAAATTTTCTAGAATGATTAATTCTAATTGTCATTACATTAAAAAGAATTCCTGGTATCACGAGTTGCGGTATCCACCTTCTGAAACTTTGGTCATAAAAAAAGAAAACAACAATAAAACACAGGCCTTCATATAAGTAGGCTCCGCAAGAGTTATCTACATGTATTTCAAAAGCTGGATTCCGATGGTTTCGATGCTTTTGGAAGATGTTATAGTAGCTGCCACTGTCTGAGGTGGGCCGTTGGTTTCTAAAGGCAAAATTATGATGTCATGGATTCCAAAGTCTATTAACAGGTAACATTAATTAAAGCGAACCACTACACCCCAACTGACTTTATTCAATTAGGCCGGGTACCAGAAGACTATATTTCATGGCCGCACGAGAAATAGCCGCACGAAAACTAGGACGTTATCTTCAGATCCGATAACATCAACTTTGTAGGATAAATTCGTACCCACTAGAAGATATAATGTTGTTTTCTACCAAAATACGATATTTCATGGCCGCACGAGAACTAATACTCTATCTTAATGTCTGATAACATCAACGCGGTAGGAAAAATTTGTACCTATATATATCCTGTATTTTGTTGTTGTTGTTTTACAGATATTTGGGTAAAATATTAAATGAAAATACTTTTTTTAAATACATTTGCAAAGATCATGTTTAGGTAGCTTTCAACATAATAAATAAAATAATGGCTCTTTAAATTGTAGCTTTTTCCTTCCGAGAAACAAGTTGGATTCAACCACTGAAATGTTACAAAAAGAAAAAGAGTCCTTCACGACAACTAATAAAACATTGCATGATGCAGAAACACAGAGGACTAAAAACTCTCTTCTTTACGAGAAGCAGCTACGAAGGATGAACAGAAAAAACGTTCGACCGAGTGCAAAGTACCCCACAGCGATAGCACGACTAAATAGTAAGCGAAGTTGTTTCCGTTATGGCTACCACAAAACATAAATGACACAATGTGAAGTAGATATGTTAGCTTGTCATCTGTTCGTTTTCAAATAACTCAAAGAAATGAGAGCCCAAGTTTGGGAGACATTTAGATTTACTCTGTAACGGGAGAATCATACAGTTGTGCTCAAGTGAAAGGTCTTAAGGGAAGTATTCTTCTCTATTGTTTTCAGACAATGCCACATAACTTTAAAACGCGCCTTGAATTCAGCTAAAGCTTTAATGCAATTTATAGTAGTAAATACAAATTTTCTATAGATAATTTAATTCTAACTGTCATTGGACTCAAAAGAATTCCTGGTATCACGAGTTGTGGTATCCACCTTCTGAAACTTTGGTCATTCAAAAAAACAAAACAACAATAGAACACAGGCCTTCATATAAGAAGGCTCCGCAAGAGTTATCTACATGTATTTCAAAAGCTAGATTCCGATGATTTGAAAAAATAAAAAAGGTGATCGAGTTCAAACAAGCAATAAGCCTATAATTCCCGCTTCAACTCCAAAAACAGATTACCCTCTTTGCATATCATACCAGAATATTAGAAATAAATGTCAGTAATAACTTACTGTCTTCCAGTGTCTCCACAACCTGGACACCACTTGCCGGTCCATTTCCAATTGCAGTAAATGCTAACACACTAATGCTGTAGTTTGTAAACTCATTCAGTTGTTCTATAAGCACTGTTTGTTGTCCATTCTGTTGCTCACTGGTGATATTGCGGAACTTGGGCACCATGATACCATTCGGTAAGGCTTGATAATTTACTTCATATCCTTTGATGATTCCATTTCTATCATCAGCATCCACAGGATCCCAAGAAACGGAGATACTTTTAGAGGATGTTACAGTAGCTGCCACTGTCCGAGGTTGGCCGCTAGGTTCTAAAGGCGAAATTATGATGTCACGAAGTGCAAAGGCTCTTAACAGGTAACATTAATTCAGGTGAAACAATATACCCCCAACTCACTTTATAAATTAGGCTAGGTACCAAAAGACGATATTTCATGGCTGCACGAGAACTAATACTTTATCTTAAGATCTGATAACATCAACACGGTAGGGTAAATTCGTACTCACTAGAAGATATATTATGTATTTCGTTGTTATTATTTTACAGATATTTGGGTGAAATATTAAATGAAAATACTTTTTTAAGATACATTTGGAAACCATCAAATGCAAAGATCATGTTTAGGTTGTCTTCAACATAAGAATTAAAACAATTGCTCTTGAAAATGTAGCTTTTTCTCTCAGAGAAACAAGTTGGATTCAATCACTGAAATGTTCCTAACGAATGCAATTCCTTCACGACAACTAATAAAACATTGCATGATGCAAAAGTATAGAGGACTAAAAACTATCTTCTTTACGAAAAGCAGCTACGAAGGATGAACAGAAAGAACGTTCGACCGAGTGCAAAGTACCCCACAGCGATAGCACGTCAAAATAGTTAGCGAAGTTGTTTCCATTAAAGTTACCACAAAACAAATGATATTACGTGAGGTTGATATGTTAGCTCATTATCTGTTCATTTTATAATAATTGAAAGACATGAGAACTCAAGTTTGGGAGACATTTAGATTTACTCTGTAAGGAGAGAATCATACAGTTTTGCTCAAGTGAAAGGTCTTAAGAGAATGATTCTTCTCTATTGTTTTCAGACAATGCCACATAGCTTAAAAACGCGCCCCGAATTCAACTAAAGCTTTAATGCAATTTGTAGTAGTGAATACAAATTTTCTATATATAATTTAATTCTAATTGTCATTCCACTTAAAAGAATTCCTGGTATCACGAGTTGTGGTATCCACCTTCTGAAACTTTGGACATTCAAAAAAACAAAACAACAATAGAACACAGGCCTTCATATAAGAAGGCTCCGCAAGAGTTATCTACATGTATTTCTAAAGCTAGATTCCGATGGTTTGTAAAAATTAAAGAGTTGATCGAGTTCAAACAAGCAATAAGCCTTTAATTCCCGCTTCAACTCCAAAGACAGATTACCCTCTGTTACATATCATACCAGAATATTAGAAATAAATGTCAGTAATAACTTACTGTCTTCCAGTGTCTCCACAACTTGGGCATCACTTGCCGGTCCATTTCCAATTGCAGTAAATGCTAACACACTAATGCTGTAGTTTGTAAACTCATTCAGATATTCTATAAGCACTGTTTGTTGTTCATTCTGTTGCTCACTGGTGATATTGCGGAACTTGGGCACCATGATACCATTCGGTAAGGCTTGATAATTTACTTTATATCCTTTGATGATTCCATTTCTATCATCAGTATCCACAGGATCCCAAGAAACGGAGATACTTTTGGAAGATGTTACAGTAGCTGCCACTGTCTTAGGTCGGCCGCTGGGTTCTAAAGGCGAAATTATGATGTCATGAAATCCAAAGTCTCTTAACAGGTAACATTAATTAAGGTGAAACAACATACCCCCAACTCACTTTATAAATTAGGCTAGGTACCAAAAGACGATATTTCATGGCCACACGAGAACTAACACTTTATCTTAAGGTAGGCTAACATCAACACGGTAGGGTAAATTCGTTCCAACTAGAAGATTTATAGTGTATTTTGTTGTTGTTGTTTTACAGATATTTGGGTGAAATATTAAATGAAAATACTTTTTTTATTACATTTGGAAACTATCAAATGCAAAGATTATGTTTAGGTAGCCTTCAACATAAGAATTAAAACAATTGCTCTTGAAAATGTAGTTTTTTCTTCGGAGAAAAAATGTGAATTCAATCACTGAAATGTTACTAAAGAAAAAGAGTCCTTCACGACATCTAATAAAACATTGCGTGATGCAGAAACACAGAGGACTAAAAACTCTCTTCTTTACGAGAAGCAGCTACGAAGGATGAACAGAAAGAACGTTCGACCGAGTGCAAAGTACCCCACAGCGATAGTCACGACTAAATAGTAAGCGAAATTGTTTCCATTAAGGTCACCACAAAACAAATGACACATCATAAGGTAGATATGTTAGCTTGTCATCTGTTCACTTTATAATAATTGAAAGACATGATGACCCAAGTTTGGGAGACATTTCTATTCACTCTGTAAGGAGAGAATTTTAAAGTTGTGTTCAATTAAAAAGTCTTAAGGGAATCATTCTTTTCTATTGATTTTCAGACAATGCCACATAACTTAAAAACGCGCCCCGAATTCAGCTAAAGCTTTAATGCAATGTATACTAATGAATACAAAATTTTCTAGAATGATTAATTCTAATTGTCATTACATTGAAAAGAATTCCTGGTATCACGAGTTGCGGTATCCACCTTCTGAAACTTTGGTCATTTGAAAAAACAAAACAATAATAAAACACAAGCCTTCATAAAAGTTAGCACCGCCAGAGTAATCTACATGTATTTGAAAAGTTAAATTGTTATGGTTTGAAAAAATAAAAAAGGTGATCGAGTTCAAACAAGCAATAAGACTATAGTTCCCGCTTCAACTCCAAAAACAAATTACCCTCTGTTGCATATCAAACCAGCATATAAGAAATAAATGTCAGTAATAACTTACTGTCTTCTAGTGTCTCCACAACTTGGGCATCACTTGCCGGTCCATTTCCAATTGCAGTAAATGCTAACACACTAATGCTGTAGTTTGTAAACTCATTCAGATATTCTATAAGCACTGTTTGTTGTTCATTCTGTTGCTCACTGGTGATATTGCGCAACTTGGGCACCATGATACCATTCGGTAAGGCTTGATAATTTACTTTATATCCTTTGATGATTCCATTTCTATCATCAGCATCCACAGGATCCCAAGAAACGGAGATACTTTTGGAAGATGTTACAGTAGCTGCCACTGTCTTAGGTCGGCCGCTAGGTTCTAAAGGCAAAATTATGATGTCATGAAATCCAAAGTCTCTTAACAGGTAACATTAATTCAGGTGAAACAACGTACCCCCAACTCACTTTATAAATTAGGCTAGGTACCAAAAGACGATATTTCATGGCCACACGAGAACTAACACTTTATCTTAAGGTAGGCTAACATCAACACGGTAGGGTAAATTCGTTCCAACTAGAAGATTTATAGTGTATTTTGTCGTTGTTGTTTTACAGATATTTGGGTGAAATATTAAATGAAAATACTTTTTTTATTACATTTGGAAACTATCAAATGCAAAGATTATGTTTAGGTAGCCTTCAACATAAGAATTAAAACAATTGCTCTTGAAAATGTAGTTTTTTCTTCGGAGAAAAAATGTGAATTCAATCACTGAAATGTTACTAAAGAAAAAGAGTCCTTCACGACATCTAATAAAACATTGCGTGATGCAGAAACACAGAGGACTAAAAACTCTCTTCTTTACGAGAAGCAGCTACGAAGGATGAACAGAAAGAACGTTCGACCGAGTGCAAAGTACCCCACAGCGATAGTCACGACTAAATAGTAAGCGAAATTGTTTCCATTAAGGTCACCACAAAACAAATGACACAACATGAGGTAGATATGTTAGCTTGTCATCTGCTCGCTTTATAATAATTGAAAGACATGATAACCCAAGTTTGGGAGACATTTATATTCACTCTATAAGGGGAGAATTTTAAAGTTGTGTTCAATTAAAAAGTCTTAAGGGAATCATTCTCCTCTATTGATTTTCAGACAATGCCACATAACTTAAAAACGCGCCCCGAATTCAGCTAAAGCTTTAATGCAATGTATACTAATGAATACAAAATTTTCTAGAATGATTAATTCTAATTGTCATTACATTGAAAAGAATTCCTGGTATCACGAGTTGCGGTATCCACCTTCTGAAACTTTGGTCATTTAAAAAAACAAAACAATAATAAAACACAAGCCTTCATAAAAGTTAGCACCGCCAGAGTAATCTACGTGTATTTCAAAAGTTAAATTGTTATGGTTTGAAAAAATAAAAAAGGTGATCGAGTTCAAACAAGCAATAAGACTATAGTTCCCGCTTCAACTCCAAAAACAAATTACCCTCTGTTGCATATCAAACCAGCATATAAGAAATAAATGTCAGTAATAACTTACTGTCTTCCAGTGTCTCCACAACTTGGGCATCACTTGCTGGTCCATTTCCAATTGCAGTAAATGCTAACACACTAATGCTGTAGTTTGTAAACTCATTCAGATATTCTATAAGCACTGTTTGTTGTTCATTCTGTTGCTCACTGGTGATATTGCGCAACTTGGGCACCATGATACCATTCGGTAAGGCTTGATAATTTACTTTATATCCTTTGATGATTCCATTTCTATCATCAGCATCCACAGGATCCCAAGAAACGGAGATACTTTTGGAAGATGTTACAGTAGCTGCCACTGTCTTAGGTCGGCCGCTAGGTTCTAAAGGCAAAATTATGATGTCATGAAATCCAAAGTCTCTTAACAGGTAACATTAATTCAGGTGAAACAACATACCCCCAACTCACTTTATAAATTAGGCTAAGTACCAAAAGACGATATTTCATGGCCACACGAGAACTAACACTTTATCTTAAGGTAGGCTAACATCAACACGGTAGGGTAAATTCGTTCCAACTAGAAGATTTATAGTGTATTTTGTTGTTGTTGTTTTACAGATATTTGGGTGAAATATTAAATGAAAATACTTTTTTTATTACATTTGGAAACTATCAAATGCAAAGATTATGTTTAGGTAGCCTTCAACATAAGAATTAAAACAATTGCTCTTGAAAATGTAGTTTTTTCTTCGGAGAAAAAATGTGAATTCAATCACTGAAATGTTACTAAAGAAAAAGAGTCCTTCACGACATCTAATAAAACATTGCGTGATGCAGAAACACAGAGGACTAAAAACTCTCTTCTTTACGAGAAGCAGCTACGAAGGATGAACAGAAAGAACGTTCGACCGAGTGCAAAGTACCCCACAGCGATAGTCACGACTAAATAGTAAGCGAAATTGTTTCCATTAAGGTCACCACAAAACAAATGACACAACATGAGGTAGATATGTTAGCTTGTCATCTGCTCGCTTTATAATAATTGAAAGACATGATAACCCAAGTTTGGGAGACATTTATATTCACTCTATAAGGGGAGAATTTTAAAGTTGTGTTCAATTAAAAAGTCTTAAGGGATTCATTCTCCTCTATTGATTTTCAGACAATGCCACATAACTTAAAAACGCGCCCCGAATTCAGCTAAAGCTTTAATGCAATGTATACTAATGAATACAAAATTTTCTAGAATGATTAATTCTAATTGTCATTACATTGAAAAGAATTCCTGGTATCACGAGTTGCGGTATCCACCTTCTGAAACTTTGGTCATTTGAAAAAACAAAACAATAATAAAACACAAGCCTTCATAAAAGTTAGCACCGCCAGAGTAATCTACGTGTATTTGAAAAGTTAAATTCTTATGGTTTGAAAAAATAAAAAAGGTGATCGAGTTCAAACAAGCAATAAGACTATAGTTCCCGCTTCAACTCCAAACACAAATTACCCTCTGTTGCATATCAAACCAGCATATAAGAAATAAATGTCAGTAATAACTTACTGTCTTCCAGTGTCTCCACAACTTGGGCATCACTTGCCGGTCCATTTCCAATTGCAGTAAATGCTAACACACTAATGCTGTAGTTTGTAAACTCATTCAGATATTCTATAAGCACTGTTTGTTGTTCATTCTGTTGCTCACTGGTGATATTGCGGAACTTGGGCACCATGATACCATTCGGTAAGGCTTGATAATTTACTTTATATCCTTTGATGATTCCATTTCTATCATCAGCATCCACAGGATCCCAAGAAACGGAGATACTTTTGGAAGATGTTACAGTAGCTGCCACTGTCTTAGGTCGGCCGCTAGGTTCTAAAGGCAAAATTATGATGTCATGAAATCCAAAGTCTCATAACAGATAACATTAATTCAGGTGAAATAACATACCCCCAACTCGCTTTATAAATTAGGTTAGGTTCCAAAGGACAATATTTCATGGCCGCACGAGAACTAATACTTTATCTTAAGGTCTGATAACATCACGCGGTAGAAAAAATTTGTACTCACTAGAGGATATATCATGTATTTTGTTGTTGTTGTTTCACAGATATTTGGGTGAAATATTAAATGAAAAAAACATTTAAAACATTTGTAAACCATCAAATGCAAAGATCATGTTAGGTAGCCTTCAACATAAGAATAGAAACAATTGCTCTTGAAAATGTAGCTTTATCCTTCCGAGAAACAAGTTGGATTCAATCACTGAAATGTTACTAAAAAAAAAAGAGTCCTTCACGACAACTAATAAAACATTGCGTGATGCAGAAACAAAGAGGACTAAAAACCCTCTTCTTTACGAAAAGCAGCTACGAAGGATCAACAGAAAGAACGTTAGACCGAGTGTAATGTACCCCACACCGATAATCATTATGGCCACCAAAAAACAAATGACACAACGTGAAGTAGATATGTTTACTCATCATCTATTCATTTTATAATAATTGAAAGAAATGAGAGCCCAAGTTTAGAAGAGATTTAGATTCACTCTGTAACGGGAGAATCTTAAAATTGTGTCGAATTAAAAAGTCTTAAGGGAATCATTCTTCTCTATTGTTTTCAGACAATGCCACATAACTTTTAAACGCGCCCCGAATTCAGCTAAAGCTTTAATGCAATGTATTGTAGTGAATACAAAATTTTCTAGAATGATTAATTCTAATTGTCATTACATTAAAAAGAATTCCTGGTATCACGAGTTGCGGTATCCACCTTCTGAAACTTTGGTCATAAAAAAAGAAAACAACAATAAAACACAGGCCTTCATATAAGTAGGCTCCGCAAGAGTTATCTACATGTATTTCAAAAGCTGGATTCCGATGGTTTCGATGCTTTTGGAAGATGTTACAGTAGCTGCCACTGTCTGAGGTGGGCCGTTGGTTTCTAAAGGCAAAATTATGATGTCATGGATTCCAAAGTCTATTAACAGGTAACATTAATTAAAGCGAACCACTACACCCCCAACTGACTTTATTCAATTAGGCCGGGTACCAGAAGACTATATTTCATGGCCGCACGAGAAATAGCCGCACGAAAACTAGGACGTTATCTTCAGATCTGATAACATCAACTTTGTAGGATAAATTCGTACCCACTAGAAGATATAATGTTGTTTTCTACCAAAAAACGATATTTCATGGCCGCACGAGAACTAATACTCTATCTTAAGGTCTGATAACATCAACGCGGTAGGAAAAATTTGTACCCACTAGAAGATATATCCTGTATTTTGTTGTTGTTGTTTTACAGATATTTGGGTAAAATATTAAATGAAAATAATTTCCTTAATACATTTGGAAACCATCAAATGCAAAGATCATGTTTAGGTAGCCGTTTAGGTAGCCGTTTAGGTAGCCGTTTAGGTAGCCGTTTAGGTAGCCGTTTAGGTAAACTGATGAAACATTTCGTGATGCAAAAAACCAAAGGACTAAACGCTCTTGTTTACAAAAAAAAACGGCGACGAAGAATCAACAGAGAGAACGTTCGACCAAGTGAAATATACCCAACACCGATAGTCGGTTATTGACAATCACAAACAAACAGCTAAAAGAAATTATTTCCAGAATGCCCACCAAAAGACAAATGACACAATTTGAGGTAGATATGTTGGCTCATTATCCATTCATTTTATAATGGTTGAAATAAATAAGAGCCCTCAGTTTATGAAACATTTAGATTTACTGTAGAGGGGGAGAATCTAACAATTGCGCTCAAGGAAAAATGCGCCTTGAATTCAGCCAAAGCGTTAATGCAATGTATATTAGTGAATACAAATTGTCCAGATTAATTACTTCTAATTATCAATACATTGAGAAAGAAGTCCTGGTACCACGAGTTGTGGTATCCACTTACTGAAATCCAATCGACAGAACTTTGGTCATTCAAAAAAACAATATTAAAATAAAACAAAAGCCCTCAAATAAGTAAGCTCCGCAAGAGTTATCTACACGTATTTGTACATGTTATTATCCGGTTGTTTAAAAAAATAAAAAAAAACATTACAACATTTACACGGTATAAACATTAATCACATTTATACTGTATCATATCGTCGTATCCACTAGCAGGAATGTAGTGTGCAGTTAATTTAACAAATATCAATTGCGCATTCATTGAAAAGGCAATCCAGGGAGTTTGAAAAAAAATTTTCTTGAAAAAAGTTTGATTTAATTTATTTGTATCCTCTGTTATCATTCCATTGCGACCTAAAAGAGGGACTTGCCTGAAACTAAAGGAGATATATTTATGATGATGGCAAATTAATTGTGACAGACTGGTAGTTACTAAAACAAGGAATGACCTAAAATGACTTAAACCATCTAAAATTACCTAAAATAACCTTGAGTGATTTCTAAAATGTCCTGAAACGACCTAAAATGACCTTGAGTTTGCGGCACCGACAAAATCTGCATCGGACCGGATCGGACCGGAACGGATTACGGATCGGATCTCGGACCGGATCACGGACTGGATCACGTATCATGGATCACGGTTCATTTAAAATAACAAGTAAAATGATGTAAAATAATGTAAAATAACATGTAAAATAACATGTAAAATAACATGTAAAATAACATGTAAAATAACATGTAAAATAACATGTAAAATAACATGTAAAATAACATGTAAAATAACATGTAAAATAACATGTAAAATAACATGTAAAATAACATGTAAAATAACATGTAAAATAACATGTAAAATAACATGTAAAATAACATGTAAAATAACATGTAAAATAACATGTAAAATAACATGCAAAATAACATGTAAAATAACATGTAAAATAACATGTAAAATAACATGTAAAATAACATGTAAAATAACATGTAAAATAACATGTCTGCGCGACAAGCCAAAACAAAGTCTGTGTGACAAAATAGAGCGTAGGCCCTTTTTTTTCCCAAAAACACCATGTAGTCACTTTCACGGCTGTGTCGAGGAGTGTTGTGAGGTGCCCATGGACGAAGGCAAGCGAGAGGTACGTATCATTTCATAAGTCAGTTGAGAAAAACGCGACACAATCCACAGTTTCTTCTTAAGAACCATACGGTTAACACTAGCATTGGGTGAGGTTCCAAATGTGCCCACTCTAATCAAATAGTAGTATTGGCCATAATTCTCTCGATAAAAGATTGAGATATATTTTCTCAATGTGAAAGGTATTCCAGCATGGTTCTCGAAGATCAGTGTTGGTTTCCAGTTGTCAATGAAAGCTGCCATTGACAGACCAATTCATTTTCGTCCGAGGTAATAATTACATTTCAAACATTTTAGAAGCCCTGTATAACTCGTACCTACAAAAGTAAATGATCTCATAGAGCACTGAATGATTTTTCACGAGTTTAGAACATTCATCTTTCTTGTTTTGGAATACTTGTCAATTCATCTTTTATTACTTTTAGTTACGCTGACAAAAAAAAATTAAACTTACTGTCTTCCAGTGTCTCCACAACCTGGGCACCACTTGCTGGTCCATTTCCAATAACAGTAAATGCTAACACACTAATGCTGTAGTTTGTAAACTCATTCAGATCATCTAAAAGCACTGTTTGTTTTTTATTCTGTTGCTCACTGGTGATATTCTGGAACTTGGGCACTGTGACACCATTCGGTAAGGCTTGATAATTTACTTTATATCCTTTGATGATTCCATTTCTATCATCAGCATCCACAGGATCCCAAGAAACGGAGATACTTTTAGAGGATTTTACAGTAGCTGCCACTGTCTTAGGTCGGCCGCTGGGTTCTAAAGGCAAAATTATGATGTCACGGAATATAAAGTCTCTTAACAGATAACATTAATTAAGGTGAAACAAGGGAAACCTCCACGGCGTAAAAAATTCCCTAAAGGTAAGTTATTGTCAGAAGGACATATGTCTATTGCTATCTGTTACATTAAGACTTTCGAGAAACATATTCTAAGAAAATCAAAACCCCAAAAACATACCGGAAAAGATGAAAGACATTCAGCATCACAGAGTACCGTTTCTGACAATCGAAAGTTGTTTGAAAAGAAATACATGTTTTACAAGAAAATTGACGATGCTCCCGATATGAGGTGATCGAAGGCCGCAACAAACACACTAAAAGTAACAAAAACAGCACAGATACTGAAATAAAACTTACTGTCTTCCAGTGTTTGCTTAACCTGGGCAACACTTAATGGACCATCACCGATTGCAGTAAATGCTAACACTCTGATGCTGTAGTTTGTAAACTCGTTCAGTTTATCTAAAGTCACCGTTTGTCCTTCATTCTGTTGCTGGCTGGTGATATTGAGGACCGCAGTAAGAATGTCACTATTCGGTAAGGCTCGATAATTCACTTTATATCCTTTGATGATTCCGTTTCGATGTTCCGCCGTGACAGGATCCCATGAAACGGAGATATTTGTAGAAGATATGACATCGATTATGACAGTTTGTGGTGGGCCACCGGGCGCTATAGGGAAAACAAGAAATGACGCAAAATATTTAACTGGCTATGGGAAATACTGTACTCTTTGTCTCGTTCTGTTTTCTCAAGACTACTTATCATACTAGGAACAAAAATTACACTTCACAGAAACCATTGATCACGACTCGATCGTACTTAGAAGGGCTTACAGGAACTTTGGTTTACATTCAGTGTCTTGATTAAGAGTAAAGTTATTTGCAGCAGACGCAAGCTTTGCAAAGTATCTATAACAAAAAAATGCCAGCATAACTTATCATTGCAAATTATACATATATATATTTTTTATTTTTTTTTAAATCAGTGTATAATTTGGGAGTAAGAGAAAGCTTGAAAATTACCGCCATGTATTTAATTATTAATTGACACCTTGTGTATCTTAACTTTAACCAAATAGATTAAGTATAAAGTTACGGGTAAACAGTAAATGCCGATCGCCCGCTTGAAACTCAAAGCACCTCATCTCAGTTACCAAATCGCCATTACGATCTAAGACACGATTTCTGATGTTTTTCTACAGTATCTATGAAAGGATTACACAATGAACTGCGAAAAATGAAACCTCATTTCTTTAACCATTCGCTGTTCGCATAAACTCAGTGCTTAAACTCAGTTTTATTGACAACAAGATACCTAAGTTCTATAGCAAGAGAATATTTTCTTGTATACGAGAATACGCTTAATAAAAAAATCCCACTGCCTTGCCTGTAGATCCCCGCCTTTTATCTGTCCCTCAACTCATCCCCAATTAGTCGCTCTACCAACTGAGCTAACAAGCCAACTGGGAGCTGGTCAATGTGTTGGGTCCAAATGAACATTCGCCGCAGTGCAAATATATGAATTTCATATATCTAAACTCATCATTCATCATTTGGATGGTTTTTTGTCATCTTAAGAAGGGCGTGTTTTTAAGCCAATATCAAGTTTACCCTCAACGAAATAACGGACCCCAAATGTTTGTTTATAGAGACGTCTATGCGAGGGTGAAGGAAAAAATGGTAACCTGGGCCGTCCAGATGTTATTAATATAACATATTTGAACCATAATGTTAAAAGGAGGTACGAAATTTCAAAAGACGTTTCTCTCATACTTGTCCCAGACTTTTTTGTGGTTTTCATCCGAATTCAACAATTTAGTACCAAAATGTCCAAAATGACTTGTGACAGTCACTTGCACGATTCCGTTTGAGTATCAAATGGGATTGAGAAGCAGCTACACTGTACTTAGAACAACCCAATTGAGGAAATGTTAATCTAACTTACCGTCCTCCATTGTCTGCTCGACCTGGGCAACGCTTTGTGGCCCATCTCCGACTTCAGTAAATGCTAACACAGTAATGCTGTAGTTTGTGAACGCACTCAGAGGCTGTAAAGTTGTTGCTTTTTCAACACCCTGTTCTCCACTGTTGATATAAAGGGTCTTTGTATTTATTTCACTATCTGCTAAGGCGTGATAATTCACTTTATATCCTTTGATGATTCCATTTCGATCATCAGCTGGGACAGGCTTCCAGCTTACTCTGATACTTGTAGATTTTATCTCACTTAATACGACCATTTGTGGAGGCTTACCAGGCTCTGAGGTCAAATGAAAAAAAAAACATCATAAGGTCTCTTCTAAGCACTTTCCACGAGCAGCTAACTGAGGAGAGAACGAATGGTAATCTTCTCAAATTGCATTTTACACCTTCATTAAATTAGAATCGGTTTACAGCAAACGTAACTGCCATGGTAACCAATCTCTCCGGCGATTCGTTACACGTTCAAGAATGAAAGAAAAGTATCACTAAAAGAAACAAAGAGGCTACGACCAATCCATCCATAACAACTCGCGCTGGTCGTACAGCAAATAAAGATTGTTTAAGGATGTACAAAAATCAGTAAAAATAATAACAAAATAATTAGTTAAAATGGTCAAATAAAATAAAAGAAAGGTAACACTCACTGTGCTGGTCGGTAGTCTTTTCCACCAAAGCACTTAAATTGCTGACACCTTTACGGTTAAACGCCTGCATGGCAAACTCGTAAGTAGTGTGTTCATTTAGTGGTCCTACTAGAAGCGATGTCGTTTCGGCTCCATCAACAGTTTTATTTTCCCAGAGTGCAGTGCTGTTAATAACCCGGTAGAAAACGTAATAGCCCAAGATAGCACCTCTAGCTTTGACCTTACTAAGCATCTGGATTGTAAAATTAACGAAACATTAATTTGATGAAGAAAATACCTTTTTACGTGATATACATATACTTCATGGCGTCCAGCTGTTGTGCTGAACTATCATAAGCATGTTAATGTACTTATTGATTTAATTTTTTTTTCAATTAAAATTAATTTTAACAAACACGTCTGTGTTTCCTTACGCTTAGTCTGAAGTGGATCTCAGAGGACACCAAAATGTAATTACAGCTGTAAACTAAAAACACGACACGAGCCCAGGCAAGGGTATCAACGATGTTCTAATGCTAGCTACATCGCATCATCTTTGATCTGTATACGTAAAATGATACACAACAACACGGAATCTAACAGAGGGAGCTGAAAATAAAATCGTTGATGATATCACCCACATGTGCCAGTAAGCTGCTGTCCCAAGTTAACTAAGAGTAGAGTCTTACAAACTGTAGACATGCTTTGCAGAGAGCCAAAGTAATTGCATACATGTAATTATCTTTTAAGGCTGTTCAAAACAAAACAGTTATGCGAACTAGTAATTCAGGTTTGAAACCGTTCCCTTCTTGATTTAAAATGTGCAGGGGAAATAAATAGGACAAGTCAATTAAAAAAAAAAAGCATTCGGAGATCAATGAAACGTCTGGTAACTACCTGCCAGGAAACATTCACTGCAGTTGAATTGACAACAATCACATCAAAAGTCGGAGCCTCACTTGGCACTGTAAAAGTGAATTAAAAATACATTTTTCCCCTTTAGGAAGTCATTATATAACAAATAAAAGTTGAAGCAAACTTGTATTTGCTTGATTTCCTCACAAAAGCATCTAAAGTAGTGCTTGCTTGCTACTACTTGAAAAACTTTCACAGTTACACGTAAAACACACTTATGCCCCATTCACACCAAAGCTTAAACATGTTTAAAAGTTGTTTTGTTAAACACAGTTTAATTTTTTTTTTCTTCATAGAAACTATTTAACCGAATATTTTTGACTTGAATGTAGCACATCGGAAATGCAAGTTAGCAAGTACTTGAATCCTATGGAAAATCAAGTTTTTCAGTTCTCTGTTTATAATTTTCATTCAATGAAAACCAGTTTAACAAAACATGTTTTGCTGGTGTGAATGGGGTATTAGATTCTTGTTCCAATTTGCTCCACAAATGTGTGGCACATTTGCATAAAATAGCCCTCATAAAGTAATTACTACAATTTCCAAAGTCCTCTATCCCCTTGCCATAATATCCAGGTGACTGCATTATCTATGTGGCTCTTTCTATGCAAAACAAAGAAATGTAGAGGGTAAGTAACATACATGTACCTTCTTCATCTGTGGTAACATTCAGAATTTGGCTGCTGTTACTTCTGCCAATTGCGTTTGTCGCAAACACTCTAATGTTATATGTTGTCCAAGGAAGAAGCCCGGTTAGAGAGGCTTTTGTGGAGGAACTGGACACCACACAGGCACCACTTGAGAGTGATCCCTGACAAATAACACCCTTAAAGATCTGATTATATTGACTGATCTCCACTGTGTAGTTCTGAATGGGGCTCTTTCCATCAAAACCAGCTGTCCAAGAGATATTCACCACCCGTGGGCCATTAAAATCAACCGTCAATGTATGTGGTGGGTCTGGTACCACTGTGGAATTAAACAACACTTCAGTAATCATATCACCTCTCAGATTAAAGAAGAAGAGTTTTAGAAATGTCCTACATTGGACAAGTTCTACATTTAATTATTTGGATAATACCACATTGTATAAGTATCTTTCCCATATAACTGCAGAAATGGATACTCAATCATACTCTTAGATGGAAAGAGGTGCAGGTCTTGGTCAATGACCAACTGTAAGTCATGAGTGGAAGCTGACCATTTCCATCTTAAATCCAATAAAACAACAGCCCTCCACACTGTAGTCTCTTTCTCAGTCGCTGTTTGGTCTTGTTAGGCAATGTGCTCTCTTTTCCACCAACATGTTGTGACAAGACCAAACAATGACATTGAAGTAGACTATCAAGCAGCGACAGTCTTAATTGCCACAGACAGTTGAAAATGAACAAAAAACAAAAAAAACTATCAATAAACTGGCAGCAAATGTGGCTTAGTTGAGGACCTGAGTTGGGCCAACACAAAGAAAGCCATAATGTGTACATTACTTGGTGTAACTAAGGTTAAAAGATATAAAAAAAGAGACTCGTAAACAGATATAATTCATGTATAGCTGCAGTTATTAATATTTGTTGTTTCTTTCCAAGTCAGCTTAATTTAACTCTTATAAAATTAGATCATAGATCACATTATAGTTACTGATGTGACACTGTGTGTGAGATGTGCTGATGCTTGTCCACTTTTTTTTTTTCTCTGTTTACTGGCAGAATCGAACTTCTTTTTTTCCTTAAGGGGGGGGGGGGGAGGGGGGAAATAACCCTTTCGTAAGTTTAGGCCGTCATTTATCCCTTTAACCAGTAAGAGTGATTGGAATCTAATTCCTCCTTAAAATATCATCCCTTAATCACACAATAAGGTAACAAGAACAAGGGAAAGAAGAAGTTTTCGTTCATAAGGGAAATTCTCCTTGTCAGTGCCAATAGGAAATGCATGGAGAAAAGTATGGAGAATATGCATACTGATGTTAAGGTGTAAAGGGTTAAAGACAGTTGAGCTTGAAACTGAATTTCCTCCTAAAGAAGTTTTAAAAAATCAAAAAAAGAAAACGGAACTAGTTTCAAAATAAGTCAACACAGTTAATGAAGAAGCCATTAACCGTTTAACTCCCAGAAGTGATTAACATGTTACTTCTCCCTATATTATCCATACATAACACAGCAAGCAGGTGATGAGAATACTCTAACTTATTAGGGAAAAGTTGTTATCTTGATCTAACACCAAATTCTCCCAGTTACTTTACAAGGAAATGTGTAGCAGCTAGAGGGAAGAATTAACAATCAGATCATGGGAGTTAACTGGACTCTAAACGACCACCCTAAAGAGAGGAGAATCTGCATAAATTATTGTACAAAGTGATGAGATCAAATAATAGTACAAAATATCATAATTTATGATGATTATATATCATTGAGAAAAACATACCTTGTATAACAACTGAAGTTATATCTGAGGAATTGCCAACAGCATTTGTGACAAAGCAGGTGTAATTTCCCTCATCATTCCTTGTACTTGATGAAATTAAAAGCTGTGATTGACTTTCAGTGAATTCTGTAATATTCACCAATCCATTACCAATCCCACTATCATTCCTAGCAATCACACTTCCATCTTTAACCCATTGTACCTCTGACACTGGTGGTGAAGCATTGTACTGGCAAGTCAGATGGATCTGTTTGTTTATTGCAACAAACTTTTGTTTACTGCCACTAATTTTGACATCTGCTCTAACTGTAATCAAAAGGATTGTTCAAGTTAGTCACCACAAAATGTGAACACTATTTGAAATATTTCTTTGAATTATGTCATACATTATTGAACAATTTGGTGTGTAGTATCTCTGTGTCTTTCTAATTGTTGTTTGTAAATATATATTGATGAGCCCACAAAGAAAAACACCAAATCAAATCATGCAATAGGTTTTTTCATCATCCAAACGTTTCATTTAATATGCATCTCATACAAGACAAGAAAAGCAAAGTAAATAAAGAAGTGGTTTGTGACCAGTCTTGCACAATGCTTGCATCAGACTGGCTCATGATTGGCTCATGAGACATCAATTTGCCACTCAAAATTTCAAAACATTTCAAAGTGGAATTTTAGTTTAGATCCTTGTTCTCAAATCCTTGGATGTATACTTCACAAAAGATGTTGTCCATTATTTCCTAATATTTCCTTTTGCGAAAGTTTTACCAAACAGTATAAGGAAAGTGTTAACACATGACATGCCCAAAACAAAAGGTTATGTGTTTAAGGTGACAGAATGGCAATACAACCTCTGCTGAGTACATGTGCACTTAAAACCTGCAATAACCCTTCAACTCCCAATATCTGTTTCTTAATTCTCCCTTCTAGCTGCCACATAGTTCTTTGTAAATTACATGTGGTTGTAAGAATTTGGTTTTAGATCAAGATAAAAACTTCTGCTGAGAAGTATTAGGATATTCTCTTAAAAACTTATTTGTTGAATAACATTCATATTGTAGGGAGAAGTTACAAGTTAATCACTTCTTGGAGTTAAAGGAATTTAGCAGACACTGTGAACAATATCAAGCAGACACTATAAGTTCCTTTGGATGTCCTCTGAGCAGACACTTATATGTATAAGGGTCTTAGGTACCTGATGTGTGGACTTACCAAAGGTTTCACTCAACCAATACTAGTAAGCATGCTTTGACACTATATATCTCATATATTTGCAATACAGTCTAACAAAGCCCTTTGCAGTGTTCTCCAGAGATTGTTTTAGTATCGAGACAGAAAAATCACTAACTGACAAAAGTTAGAATCTATTTCAGATCAAGACAAGTATTTCACAACTCTGTTGGACTGTTGATTAGCTGTTGTGATTAAGAATCAAAAAGCTTGCACAAGGACCACCATTTTTGATCTCAATGGAAATATCCTCACCTACCAGTGTATAGCTGATATGAACACAGGCACATAAATGTTAATAACAAATTAATTGGCAAAAGAGAGTTATGAAAATCATGTACTTAATTTTCTCTCAACAAGCACTACTACATTGAAAAGACAATTTTAGAACACAAAAATAAAAACTTGGTGCTGATCTTTTTTGAACTTATTACAAAGTGATTTCTCACAACATCACAGACATTGAGGATTGATAATTAACTCACTCACTCAGTGTATGAACAGTTGCCAAGTTTACAATCTTTAAAAGTGATCCATTCCAAAGAGAATTGAGCATGTACTTCTTCGAACTAAACTACCATTTTGGCATCAAGAGGCTAAAGAATTGTTGTGGAGAGGTGAAAAAACTAACAATTTCTGATTTTATCGACTTCTGGCCATGTTTTGAAAGCCATTACCGACCAACTGCATGATGATGAATATTGCGTAAATGACGGTGACAGACACTCAGGCTGTCAGACAACTGGGTGATCGTTCCTCATTCTATCAGTTAAAGGGTATACAGTGCTGCTACTAAATCTAGCGCTTTGAGAGGAAAGACAGAACGACTACGGATAATAACTTCCTCAACTTGACAGTGGAACTGTGAACAAGAAACAATTCCAATTTGCGTTGCGTGTTCCAAGCTAATTTAAAAACAAACCAGCCGCCAAATATCGTTGTTTCAAAACACCAACGCTCGATGGCAACTTATGTTTTCAAAATAAAGACACCAGTCACGTCCCATCGAGGAAAATTATCCCCGTAACATATGCGTAAACCAAATCAAGAGGAAGTGCAAATAGTTTAGAGATATTCGAAATACTTTCGAGTAATAATTAGTGTTTAACTGGCACCTGTGTGTAAAATAAGCTTGCATGTACTAAAGTTTGCGAAATTTTTTGGTATCTTCGTTAAACAAACGAAGAAATTTAAAGCAATGAATTCGATTAAACTTTGCAGAAGCGAATTTACGTCGAAGCCATAATTACACAAGAAAAACGAAACATTCGAATTAAATTGCAATATCGAAATATTATGCCGAAGAAAATCGACCAAAACTTTGCATTTCAACACATTTAACTTAAAAAGCTTCTTCTCTCACACATAAGAGAACTATATCCCATCATTCCGTTGTAATTTAACGTGAAAATTCAATGCGCGGCCGGAGCAAACACCTCGTATACAGAATAGGTTAAGTCAAGGTAAATGATTTCCGCTTCCAAATCTTACGAACACTTCTGTCTTCAAAAGAAGAAAAATCACTTTTACCTCCTAGGCCTGATGAAAAAGACATTAACAGCAGAATGACGAAGAACCAATAATAGAGACGTTCTCTGAACGTAAAAGTTCCGGCTTGAATTTCGTCCATAGTTAGGAAGCACAGTACGATCGAAGCCGCTGTTTAGAATATTTGATCGTACCCTACCCCCCTGAGAAGATCCACTGAATGATTAGGTCACGACCTTGAAATAACTAATAATAAACTTGTCTGCTCTGTATTACCATACAAGTCAAAAATTGTCTCTCCTCCTTTAAAAAAGACCGCTTTCGACTTCCGCAGGTCGCAATATTCGGGGATTTTTTTCTTATTAAAGGAGGAAGAAGAAAGAATCAGCCAAAAAATGGCTAAGCTCTGTTAATCATTTCTAAGGTTACAAAAGCAATATCATCACAAAGAAAATTCGAGAACGTGCGTGACGTAAAAAATAGCAACTCTTTTGTGTTTTCACTAATGTGAAGAGGTTGAAATACCAAAACAATTACGTTTTAAAAACAACTGATCCAAACCAACTGTAGTTATTTTTAACGATAAAGGGATTTTGTACGTTACTTACATTGTACATTTAGATCTCCTGGAGATGATGTTATGTTGCCAACACTATTAATAATCACACATCTGTATTGTCCCGAATCCGATCGTTGAACATCTGTGATCGTCAAACTGCGCTTGTTGTTCAGTGACGACGCTGTTAGTCGTGGATTTACTGTTGTGTTCAGTTTTTCCTCGTTCTTCGTCCAAGTGACTCTTGGTGAAGGATTTCCATCTATCATGCAACTAAACACAACATCTTTTCCCTCAACTAGGGTGGCATCCTTTGGATTTTCCACGATTTCAGGTGCAACTTGGAATTTAAAAACATAAGTGTTACGCTCTGTTAACTCAAATCAGTGAATTTCAAAAGCTACCGGCTTATTTCATTGCATATCTCAAAGTCTTCGTCATTTTTGCGATTTTTTTAGATTTGTCAAAACATGAATTTTTACCAGTGAAAGACTATAGGGTTATTTTAATTCTTAGTACTATTTTTTTCATGCTTATCTTGTGTATATTTCATCATCTAACTAACGATTAATGAGAAAACGTGATTTGTTATTTCTGCTAAGACCTAGGAATGCTTTGTCATCAGTGATAACGAGCGATGTTTAACGAAAAGTTCTAACATCTCTGCCGTCCTTGTCGACATTCAGATGAAGCTGACAAGATTGATGGCTCTGCAATCTACCACGAAATTGCCGAAAATTACCCAAATACGGGACCAAACGAGATTTTTTGAAGAACAGGAAAAAAATTATGCAACAGAGAATTGAAATAACAAGCCAGATATCTGTTTGTAAATACTGGGCGCGTACATTCAACTTTCGGTCCTTTGCAACATTTTTGTGAAATTTCGAAACACAAAGATAAAAATTTTATTTTTTTTCACAAGTTGCGACACCAATGATATCATAAATTTTCCTATTGTTCAGTTCTCGTAAGTTAACGTTTGTGGTACAAAAAAAAATGTCTGATTTATACTTGACATTAACTCAGTTTAAGATTTGAATGGTGATTCCTAAGGTTTTTGCTTTCAACTGCTCGGAACCCATCGCTACTTCCCCCATCACTTTCATTTGTGCCAAATACCTTTCAAACCCTATTGACCTTGAGTAGAATTTCACCTTCCAAATTAGGCAAAACAGAAAAGAATTGCTAGAGCACTCACACTGTACGTCGACGTTTGCAGGATTTGAGGAATCATTTCCAAGGCTGTTCCTGGCCACACATCTGTAATTTCCGCTTTTTGATCTGTTAATACTCGCTATAGACAGTGTCTCGTTATCTCCTGAAAAAAGTATCCCTTGGTTGTTATTTAAAGGAGATCCATCTTTGGTCCATGATAGCGTTGGTGGTGGATTTCCGGTCGCGTTACAAAATAAGTTCATGGGGAGTCCTTCTTCTACTGTAACATTCTTAGGATGCGTAATAATTTCAGGCTGAACTGTAAAAAAAAAAAAAAAAATGATAACGAAAATGAATAGATAAATAAACCAGAAGCATAACAGTTTCAATTTTTTTTTTTTTTGCAACAAATAAATGGCTAAACGTTCCTTTAAGCAAAAAAATTCCAAAGAATGTCTAGCAAAACCCACTCTTTTCTTCTGCCAGTTCGTTCCTACATTCCTGAGAGAAATATATCTTATTTAAGAGATATATCTTATTTAATGGGTAAACTAGAAACAGCTTGTCGTTCACTCAAACAGAAGCAGGCCCTATCTGGCTTCTAAAGGTTATGAACCCATCGCTAATTCCCCCTTCACATTAATTTGTGCCAAATACCTTTTAAATCCTATTAACTGTACAGAATTTCTCCTTCCAAATTAGGTAAAACAGAAAAGAATTACTGGAGCACTTACACTGTACGTCGACTTTTGCAGGATTTGAGAGATCATTTCCAAGGCCGTTCCTGGCAACACATCTGTAATTTCCGCTTTCCGTTCTGTTAATACTCGCAATAAACAGTGTCTCGTTGTCTCCTGAAAAAAGTATCCCTTGGTTGTTATTTAAAGGAGATCCATCTTTGGTCCATGATATTGTTGGTGGTGGATTTCCGGTCGCGTTACAAAATAAGGTCATGAGGAGTCCTTCTTCTAATGTAACACTCTTAGGATGCGTAATAATTTCAGGCCGATCTATAAAAAAAAAAAATTATTTCTAAAATAAATAGATAAATAAACCAGAAGCATAACCTTAAGCAGTTCTACAATCGATCAAATAATTTTTTCATTCCTTTTTTTTTGTGACAAATAAATCCCTAAACGTTCCTTTAAACAAGAGAATTCCAAAGAATTTCTAGAAAAGCCCACTCTCTTCTTCTGCCAGTTCGTTCAAACATTCCTGAGAGAGATGTATCTTATTTAAGAGATCTATCTTATTTAATGGGTAAACTAGAAACAGCTTGTCGTTCACTCAAACAGAATCAGGCCCTATCTGGCTTCTAAAGGCAACGTATCTGATTTGTAAAAGGTAATGCAGGTAATTGTCTTTCCATCTCTAGGATTACGAGAGACTGTTTGGACCCCTATTTTAGAATGTTGTAACACAACCCGGAAATTTCTATTACACCCAATTCTGTTTATTTATTTAATTTTTTTCGTTCAACTACATTTCTCTTGACCCGAAGTTGGTCTATACCTTATCGATAACGCTAAAAAAAGTTAGGTCTTTGAGATTGGGTATAGCTCGACTATAGTACGATTTCATGACCTAGAAAAGCAAACTTATTCCGTACTTACAAAGCACGTTTATCACAGAGGGGTGAGAAGTGTCATTTCCGACCCTGTTTTTCACTAAACATCGGTAATCTCCACTGTCTCCTCTTTTCACATTTGTTATTGTCAATTCTTGAGAGTCGTTGGACAAACTGATCCTGGAGTTCTCGTTTGCTGTTATGAGAGATCCATCAAACGTCCAGGATATGTGCAGTATAGGGCTTCCTGTAGCGTTGCAATACAACTTGACGGTGTCTCCTTCTTCAGGGGCAGCACTTTTTGGCTGAGTAAGGATGGAAGGCTTTACTGTATTGGGGAAAACAGAAGAGAAACTAAGTCTGAAGCACTCCACTATGTTTTCAATGTTGTAAACAGTCTACATTTCCGCTACATTAATCATTGAAGAAATTTCTCATAGACTTCATAGGAAGTCACGAGGTGCTTTAAGATTATGCAACCCTGGAAAAATTAAAAGAAATAGTAACATTTCTGCTCTGATCAAACCTAAAGTAAAATATTTTACTTTTCTGAGGTGTACATTATGTATATTCACCCATGCCCCAGTGTTGGGACAAATTACAATTTGTCACACAGAATAGAAGAAAAAAAACATCCTTCATCTTAAAAATGTTTAAAAGTTTATGGGCAACGGAAACGGTTACAGGCAATGATTATTGGTAATTCCAGTAGGTTGTAACCGTCTCTGAGAGTAGCTTATCATCTATCTCATTAAAAATTGGGATGTCCCAGCACACATCAAGAAGTCTCCGTTACCAATAAAGTAACTCGGAATTCCTGCGCACACCTGCGTACACAGCTGCCTATCTCTTTAATATGCACTTTATAGACAGCCCTAGAGCCTCGTGCGAAATCTTGCTCTCGGTATCCGGTGATCTCACATTTCTTTTAATTAGACCTTAAAAACTGTGTTCATTTCTTCGACGTCTGTGTGGAGAAATCCCAGCTTATGGCTGTCCTACCCTAAAACACGGGTTAATGAGAATTTGTCAACAGCTCTTACACACCTTCGACAATGATAGATGTCGAGTCTGATGAACTGTTAACCATATTTGTGACATTGCAAGTGTAATTCCCACTATCAGCCACGATAGCTGTGCTGATCGACAACTGTATGAGGCTCTCATTGAAGTGCAGAATATTCAATCGGGAGTTGTTGATCACTTTCGTGGAGTTTGTTGAAATCACCTCTCCATCTTTTATCCATTGCACCTCAGTCACAGGCGGTAGGGCCTTGTGCCGACATGTTACCTTGATATCGTCGCCCTTAGCCACAATCTTCTCCTTATCACCATCAACTGTAACTTCTGGATCAACTAAAATGTGATTTAATGATTGTAATTGTATCATCATCATGGGCTTTTATTTATTTATTTTTTATCTTATGTGTATAGATGATATAACTTTCCGAGCACAATTGGTATCATATGAAAATCATACACTAGAAGTTATGAGTCTGCAAATTCTAATAAGAGGTTTTCTGGATAATGTCGAATTTGTGAAAATAATATACATGTGGACTGAAAGGTTTATGAAGGAACAAGAACAAGAAATGGAGCAGCAAAGAGAGAAAATATGTCAATTACAGAGTAAAATTTCAGTGGATAATATTGGTGTATTGGCGCCAGCGGCCAACATCTACATTCATCCATCGAAGTACAAAATAACTTTTTAAATTAATTAACCGAGTAGTTAAAGACAAATCCAGAGCAAATTCGCAAACCACAAAGATTTTTAGGGTTTGTAAAAATTAATAACCTGAATTACTTATGGACAACACTTAGAAAAAAAAAACCAACCAACAAACCAAATAAAAGAATATTCCACACTCGCACGTTTCACAGAAAAACTACTGTTAGACTTACAATGTACTGTTAGGGTTGCTGAAGATGAATTCACAGTATCCAAACTGTTATTAGCAACACATTTGTATTGTCCTGCATCCGATTGTTGAACATTTGATATGATCAATCGGTGGTTTCCATCATTGGAAGAGACTCTAAGTCGCTCATGTTTAGCCACATTCAATTCCACTCCATTTTTTTCCCAAGCAACATCGGGTTTAGGGTACCCTGCTACTACGCAATTGAACTCGGCAGTTTGTCCTTCCACTTCCGTGGTATCCCTTGGAGATTGGGAGATTTCAGGGGCAACTATCAATATAAATAATAAAAAATAAATTATGTTTCCTACAAAATCAGACATAATTTACTAAATGTAGTGCGATATGGTGGTTAGAGCGCTGTATCACATAAGAAAGCAAATGAAACCGACTTTCCTAAACCATTCTTTACCAACGATGAATTTTAAGTATACAACTATTTATATTTTGATCGATCCATATTTTTTAGTCGTGTCGTAAACCATAGTTGAACTCACATCGGACAGTCACTATGGCAGCATTGGAGGTAGCATTTCCAACCTTGTTGCTCGCCACACATCGGTATGCTCCGTTGTCTTTCCTGCTCACATTCTTTATTGTCAAATGCTCTTTGTCTGTTGACAAACGGATCCGTACGTCTTCATTTGGATTTATAGAAGATCCATTTTTCGTCCATGATATTGTCAAAGAGCTTCCAGTAGCGTTGCAAAAGAAAGTCAAGTTCTCTCCTTCTTTGACCGGATCAGCTTGTGGGTGCGTCTCGATAGCAGGCGTCACTGTAGAAATGCAAGAAAGTATTTTAAACTTATGAAGTTTGTCTATCATTCGTTTTTTTCCGTATCCAAACAGTTTAAATAGGTGTTCTTGAGCTGGTTCCTAAGCACATAACTAAGAACTAGTTGGGGTCTGAAATATAGGAATGTCAAGATCGAGCTCCTCGTCTCGGTCCTTAACGACCAGGAGGCAAACAAACGAACAAACTAAAAAACAACAACAACAAAACAAAACAAATACTAAAGCAAAAACAAAGTCCAACAAAAACAAACAAACAAACAAATAAATAAACAATACAAATCTCTTGGGTAGCTGATTTTTTATCCTAAATGAGATAACTAACGCCGAGTGATTGCTTTGGGAAATTGTATTTTTGTGTTTATTCATAACGGAGCATACCTTGAACAATAATCAATGTCCCATTCGAGGAACTACCAACAACATTAGTGACATTACAAGTATAATTTCCAGCATCTTCTAAGGAAACTGTGGTGATCAACAACTGAGCTTGGCTTTCATTATGATGTGAAATAGTCGCTCTTGACCCATTTGAGGGAACAGTGAGGGTTGATGCAATCACATTCCCATTATTTAGCCACTGCACTTCAGACGCGGGAGGCAAGGCGTGAAACCTGCATGTGAGCTGTAAATCTGTGCTGTTGGCTACATAATGTATTTGATCTCCGTCAATTGTCACCTCTGGTGCAACTGAAATTTAATACAATTTTATAAAATCATTTTTCTTTAATTTTTACAGTTAGAGTTAAATACGGAATAACGGTAATTTAGCTACGTCCTTTATAAACAGATGAACTGAGAAGGAGGAAAGGAGGATATCAGAGCTGGAAGGTGAATTTGACGATACTGTAAAAATATGTTTCCTTTAATGCTCAACACATATCTTTACAGAATCGCCATCCAAAACTCAGATGTAAACTTATTTTGGTCCGTTTTAAAATCCTTAGGAATGTACCACCAAAGGTTGACTGGCTTTACAAAAACCTGTATCTATGGTATTTGAGGACAACAACGCTAAAGACAACAGTTTGTCCTTCTATTTTCGTGGTATCAATTGGAGGTTCGGAGATTTCAGGCCCAACTGATATATTAAAAAACATAAAAAAATGAATAAACACACATTAGAATTGCAATTCGAAGCAATATCAAACGTATTTCACAAAATATTGCACCACTTCCTGCTTCAAATGAAGGACTGTGTCCTTTAATAACCATGCAGCTGTGATTTGAATAAAAGCTAAGCGACCAAAACAAATCAACCTTTTTATTTTAACACTCAAAATATCAACGCTTATATAAACACGTCTGCAATCATCAACAACAGTGATTGAATTTTTCTCAACAAACAAAACAACAAATAGGTTACAATTCTGCTTTTCAAGGATTACTTCCTTCCGATAAAGTAACACCCTTTGCCATTTACTAAGCTTAAGCCGGCGGTTGCAAAAAAATTGGGCGTAAAGAAGACTCGAATCCATAACCCTGAAATGCATGTACAGCACCACAACTTCTGGGAAACTAGGCATCATGCAAAATGAGAGTAAATGATCCTCATGAAAATCAGCTGTTTGTTCGATTTGGAAGAACTCTGCTGTGCAACAATAGAGTGATAGTTAAGAAAGATTTTCAAAACAGGTTAACTACCCTTGAAGGTTAAATATATACACGCTTCTCAGGCCAAACATATCTTTTCAGTAAATTGACATTTCGCAACAGCTCGTAACCACACTTGTACTCACATTGAACATTTACTATGGCAGCATTGGAGGTAGCACTTCCAACCTCGTTGCTTGCCACACACTGGTAGGCTCCGTTGTCTTTCCTGCTCACATTAACTATTGTCAGCTGTACGTTGTCTCTTGACAAAAGGATTCTCGAATCTTCACTGGGATTTATACCAGATCCATTTTTTTTCCATGATATCCTCAAAGAGCTCCCAGAAGCGTTGCAAAATAGAGTCAACACGCACAGAATGGTCTTTCAGTGTGTCAATTCACGAGTCAAATTTTGGCCACAAGCTTTTAAAAGATTTGAGCCTGGTATAAAACAGTTCCTCGACTTCACATCGAACTTCTGCTTTTGGTCACTTTCGGCCAAATTTTAAAATTAAATTTTTTTTTGAACGCGTAAATCAAGGCAAATTTTGTTTGACTGATCAAACAAATTTGATGCTCATTTTGACGAGAGAATTTTTTTGTGGCAAAAATAAACTCGTGTAATTGTGTTTACATAGAACTGCTGGGCTGGCTTTTCCTTCCACAGGATAAGATTTTAAACGAACAAAAAATTTAACCAGGAACACTGAGAGAAATAATGCCGCAGATATGTTGTACAGGAAGTAATGAACATCGTATACATACCTTGAATAACAATCGACGTCGAATCTGTTGTATCAGTTACATTATTTGTAACATTGCAGGTGTAATTTCCAGAATCCTGTAAGGAAGCTGAGGTGATTGAAAGCTGTGATAGACTTTCATTATAAAAGATGTTAGTAACTCTTGATCCATTGTTAGTCACAGTGGCATTTATGGTAATCACATTTCCATCTTTTATCCACTGCACCTCAGACACAGGCGGTGAAGCGTTATACCGACAGATCAACGTGAAGCTCTCGCCTTTAGCTATAAACTGCTCTTGGTTACCATCAATTGCAACTTCGGGCTCATCTGAAATTCAAATCAAACTCTTAGGTCAAAGTGATGTTTTTCAAAGCTGTTGTTCTTTTGAGTGAACAAACGCTTGCGATGGAGACTACGGTGGTATGAAATCAAAGATTCAAAATGTCACTTCATTATTCAATTCACAGGGCGAGCAGGAATCAAACGGTTGGGAAAGAAACAACAGAGGCCTCTGAAGTCTTTGAGTTTTGATCCGAAAATTAAATTAAATCTCTTGACTCGACCACAGACTCGCCAGCTCAAAATAAACGAGTTCCCTGTTTTCCTCCCATAAATGATGGTGTAGTAAAAATCTTTCATATTCGAATTAAAATGAATGACTCGCTTTGTTATTTAACCCTTTAACTCCTAGAAGTGACAAGCATGTAACCTCTCTCCATAAAATCAAGGCATTATTCAGAGGTTTAAAAGTACAACACAGCTGATTTGATCATCAAACACTCGATATTTATCTCACGTTCGTGCCTAAAAATTGAAAACGCACATTTAGGGAACGGGCAGTGGGTTCAATAATTGCCGGCAAAGGAGAGCAGTAAAAAAAAAAAAAAGTTTTCCCACTGTGCTTTTCATTTCTTTATCAAAATAATAGCAAAATTATGAAAAATGTCCGTCTACGTGTAATTTAGATAAATTAACTCAAATATACAAACAGTGAAAGCAAGCAGCTTGCAAGAAGTTCAGGTTTTGCCGTTTTAGCGTAATAGTCGTGGTTAGCCTCTCTATTTTGATATCTTCTTGTTGCCTTTTCCGCCCTCTTAAAAAATAAATGAGTTTAAATAGCGTGACAGTGCCTTAAGTAGACCCACGGGAAGTTTACACAAATCAAAGTGGCATATTTTGCATCTCCTTCACGCTCGATTGCCTTTGCATTTGCAGTTGTCTTGGCGTCTAAATCATTTCACGTTCAATATCCAAATAAACATTATCTTTACTGGGTGCTTTCTACCTACTTATGTAATAATCTTAGCTCCAGTTCATTATTTCCTTAAGTTGTATCATCTAGTCATTTGAAGACGTGTTGATTTGTAAGGAGAGAGAGTACAGGTTGATCAACTCTAGCAGTGAAAGGATCTGGAAAGTTTACCGAATGTTGCTCAGTGAAATTCATCGGATATTGCAGAAAGCATTTAAATGAATAAATTACACAGCATAAAAGAATGACAAAAAAAAAAGACAAAAACGAAACTGCTGTACTTATCGCTTACGTCACGGTCATGTCTAAGTCAATTTGCCGTAGATCTTAATTACTAGTCGTGACAATTACAATTACGGCTTTCGATTGTTGATCAAAACTAAATCTTAACATAGCAAGGTTGGGTAAAGATTAAAAACCGAATGTTTCAATGAGGAAAATAGGCGAATTAACCACGCACGACTTTCGAAAGGCCTTGAAAGTGTGTTACGGTTTAAACGACACGCACAATAGTTTTTTTCCCAAAGCTTTCCAAAAGAAACTTTAGATTTACCAATTCATTAAGGAAAGTTCTCTTACCCTTAATAACTGCCCTATAATAGTTTTCAACAGAAAAAGCCAGCCTTTGAGGTAAAAAGAATTGACAAACTTCATCATCCGTAAGAGCTGAAATTCAAAATTCCTTGGGGTCATTCAATCGTGAACAGCTGAGCTCTAGTTACACCAAACAATAAAATATGCCTGATTCAACTTGTTAACAATTCTCAATTTTTACTCCACTTTTTGCTTAAGAATTTAGATTGAATATACCTAACCATCATAAGTCGAATTAATTGTTTGTTATGATTCGAATGTATGTGAAAACCTGAAGCTGACACGAGCCCCTTTCAAACGTATTAACTAATCGATCTCGCTTAGCTCACTGCTTGAGTGCAAATTATCGTCTTTCGATTTATGAAGAGCAAATCGAATAAACCAGAGGCGCAAAGGAAACTTAACACACGTCTTTACATAAAACAAATTCACTTAATCGCGGGACAAGTGTAAGCTCACAGTGCACCCGGAAGTTTTGTCATAAATCAAGGAAAACTTGTTAATTGAAACTGATATCGGTCGAAAATGAGCTGGCATTATAAACTTACATATATAAGAGATTAAAAAAGTGCCCTGGATTGGCTGGTAAGGCCTAAAATCTAGAGATCTTGTATGTTTGCATATCACTACGACACGGACGTGTCACAGCCTGAACTGACAAACTAGAATGTACTCGCATAGCTGAGGCAACTAACCTTGATGTGTAAGAGGTACAGCAATTAAAAGAAGGAAAGCTATTCTAACAACCATTTCAGCATCAAACTGTCGCGTGTTCCTTCCGTTTAAAGAGCATAGTCAATTTATCGCTTTGGGCAAATTTAAATGCAATGGTATGCAAATTTGCCAAGCAACCGATTAAAGGCAAATTGACAGACATGACGAGTCAATCAAATCGACAAAATTTTTGAGGTCAAGGCCGATCATTAATATTCAGTAACTCAGAATATAAAAAGAGACGATACTAAGTCACTTAGGATTGTCTTGATTTTGAAATTTGTACGGCGAAGTACACAAGATAGGCGAATGCTTCTGATTACAGACAGTCAGGGAGTTTTATGTACTGAGGTCGCAGACTCCAAGTGGAATAATTTATCGCTATATCACGTTACCCAAATGGAAACGTTCGTCTTGAGTTAGCATGGTGAAATGTTTCAGTCGAAACTGTAACAAAGAGAGAGTAAACATTGGTTCGCAGTTATCGTAATATGTTCCCAGTGACTAACTTTCTTATTATCTATAGGCAAAACAAACAAAACATTCCATATCTAAGAGTCGCTATTCTTTTTGAAAACAAACAGAATTATCTTTATGACAACAGCAGCTTTGCGGTCTGCGGTCAGAGGTTTTACAATCGGATATGATCAATATCTCAAGAGGGGATATTAATGGAAATATCACGAGTAAATTTCGGGCAGCTATCAAAAACCAATGTTTCGTAAGGTCAGTAAATTCTGAAAACTGCAAGCTCGTGAAAAACTTGCACATTAGCAAAATATATAGTAAACACAAAAACTAGTATCAATAAATTTCTTGAGGAATCTCAAAGCCTGCAGCCTAACTGGGTTAACGAAAAACTTTACAAATTCTAAAAAATGAACAAAGTACATGAACAGACATTCGTCGATAGAAATGACGTCAATCGATTCCTTTTACCTCTGTCTATTGCTTACTCTTTCAAGTGATATTTCAATCCTTAAAAAAATGATTGATTTAATTAATTTTTCCGTCGTGATTCAAAATATACTCCAAATACTCCTTGCAAGTCAACTGTGTGAGCGAGCCTTTACCATTTGACGCGCAAAAAGGTAGACCAAGCACAAGAAGGAAAAGATTCCAAACATCGATAAACAAATTGAAATAGAATGTTCTTTTCTTGGAACTTGCCAGTAGTTATGAAAATGCAATCTCAATTTGTTTAGAGCACTGAATAATCACTAGTTTTTGTGGAAACAAAGCACCACGGCATGTTAGAGAGCTACAGCTCCTCAATATTTTAGAAAATACAATTTGCTTACATTGCACCTCCAGTGTGGCTGCATATAAGGTATTATTTCTAAGGCTGTTTTCAGCGACACATCGGTATGGCGATTGGAGGAATTGTGGGTTGTATGTGGGTTTATATGCTGAAAATGGAGCTACTCTATTCAGGCCTTATTTTCACCACTGCTCAAGTAGTGTTCGTTACTGCGAAGATCGCTTTCATATTCACGCCTTTATCCGCAGTTCAAATATATGACTTTCATATATTCACAGTCACACTGTATACTAATAATATAGTAATTACTATATAACATTTTGAATTAAGTCGCTAAGTAGTGAAAGTCAAATCCAGAGCATATTCGCATACCACAGAAATTAGTAAGGTCTGTAAAAGAATGATCTTATGGTAGCCTGCGTGTAGCCATACCCTTCACCCCCCCGAGATTGTGAAATGGAAGCGTGGGAACGTCTACGAAAACCTGACACTAAACTTGTTCTATGATGTCATTCTTGTGCAAGAAAACATATAATGGCTTTTAATTAGGTAACCCTCTTTGTCGATTCTTTCTTGAATTCTGAATGGCTAGAGTTGGTGGTTTTCTTTCAAAATTACGATCAAGCTGGTGATCAGAGTGCTTTCACGGTCGACTTTACGAATAAGGGAGACCTACGACGAGGTTTGAAGACCATTTTCCGCGACTTTTGAGATAGAGACATTTTAAGAAGAACAGCAGACAACCATAGATGTGTTTTTAAAGATTACGACGTCTCCGTTTCGTTTCTAATTGGCTATGGAAAATCTTCAATATATCAAGCCGCGCCAGATATCGATCGCCTCTCTTCTCTACAAGAAACCGTTCACTACATTTATTGTGCCGCCCGTTAAAGCTCTCATGGAAGACCAGGTGCTCTTTCTCAATGGTCTTGCGCCAAGAGGATTGTCCGCCTTCAACTTTCGGTCTCTTTGCGAACGGTGCTGCGAAGCTAATAAATTAAAACTAGTTGTTTCTTGCAGCGATTTTTTTCTACTGAGAAAAGAGTCGCGTAGCTATCTTTTAAAGAAATCCGTAAAACCTTGAGATTCTGCGGCAATGATCCAACTTTCTTAGACGACCGTGGCACTGAAAAACCGCTTAAACATTTAAATCTGGTTTCGTAAGCACGATGCCAATCGAACAACGTCCTGTTCTTACTCTACACCAAATATCACCGAATATTTTTCTATATCCTTAAAGCAAAGTATATAATTGAAGGCGGACACTGAATTGCAAATTTGCCCGAAACTATGGAAAATGAATTCATTTGAATTGTTGTTTACTTCGATTACCTTTCTCGCTAGCACGCAAAAAATAATAACAAGTTACACCATTTTGCATAGATTATAATGACGCCATAGAACGCGATTAGTGTCAGTTTTCTTAGACACTTCCGTTTCACCTTGCGGAAGAGGGTACGGCTCAATTAAACAAAACAAAACAAATAAAGGAAGATTCAACACTCGCAAGCTTCACTGAAAAAGTTCTCTTAGACTTACAATGCACTGTTAGGGTCGCTGGAGATGAAGTCACAGTATCCAAACTGTTATTAGCCACACATCTGTATTGACCTGCATCCGATTGTTGAACATTTGTTATGATCAATTGGCGGTTTCCATTATTGAAAGACACACTAAGTCGCGCATGTGCAGCCACATTCAATTCTACTCCATCTTTTTCCCAAGCAACATCAGGTGTAGGGTATCCTCCTACTACGCAATTGAACACAGCCGTTTGTCCTTCCACTTCCGTGGTATCACGTGGAGATTGGGAGATTTCAGGAGCAACTGTAAATATAAATAATAAAAAATAAATTATGAGTCTTTACAAAATCAGACATAATTTACAAGATGTAGTGCGACCTGTTGGTTAGAGCACTGTATCAAATAAGAAAACAAATGAAACCGACGTTCCTTAAAAATTTAAGTCGTATCGTAAAGCATAGTTAAACTCACATCGAACAGTCTCAATGGCAGGCGTCACTGTAGAAATGCAAACAAGTATTTTAAACTTATGAAGTTTATCTATTATTAGTTTTTTTCCGTATCCAAACAGGTTATATAAATTTTCTCGAGCCGGTTCCAACCCACATAACTAGGCACCAGTTGGAGTCCAAAGTGTAGGAATGTAAAGCACTATATCTTTTCGCCAAAGACTAAACCAATAATGACGATGCCACTATTTTAACATCAGTGCGACATTTTACAGAGGGTTTGCCAGGAAGACTCGATGCATGTTATTTTCTGAGTCAGATTGAGGTCAGAGGGATTACACAACTCAAAGGCTCCTTGACCTTAAAGATCGAGCTCTTCGTCTCGATCCTTAACGACCAAGAAAACCGAAAGCAAATACCAAAGCAAAAATCCAGCAAAAACAAACAAACCAACCAACGAATAAACAAATAATGCAAATCTCTTCAGTGGATAGGTGATTTTTGATCCTAAATGAGATAATTAACGCCGAATGATTGCTTTGGGAAATTGTATTTTTGTGTTCATTCATAACAAAACATACCTTGAACAATAATCGATGTCCAATTCGAGAAACTACCAACAACATTAGTGACATTACAAGTATAATTTCCAGCATCTTCTAAGGAAACTGTGGTGATCAACAACTGAGCTTGGCTTTCATTATGATGTGAAATAGTCGCTCTTGACCCATTTGAGGGAACGCTGAGGGTTGATGCAATCACATTCCCATTATTTAGCCACTGCACTTCAGACGCGGGAGGCAAGGCGTGAAACCTGCATGTAAGCAGTAAATCTGTGCTGTTGGCTACATAATGTATTTGATCTCCGTCAATTGTCACCTCTGGTGCAACTGAAATTTAATACAATTTTATAAAATCATTTTTCTTTAATTTTTACAGTTAGAGTTAAATACGGAATAACGGTAATTTAGCTACGTCCTTTATAAACAGATGAACAGAGAAGGAGGAAAGGAGGATATCAGAGCTGGAAGGTGAATTTGACGATGCTGTAAAAATATGTTTCCTTTAATGCTCAACACATATCTTCACAGAATCGCCATCCAAAACTCAGATGTCAACTTATTTTGGTCCTTTTTAAAATCCTTAGTAATGTACCACCAAAGGTTGACTGGCTTTACAAAAACCTGTATCTATGGTATTTGAGGACAACAACGCTGAAGACACAATTAAACATTCAGTAATGCAATGCTTCGAATATACTTTTAAACTCACATTGAACTGTAAGAGTCGAAGGAGATGACTTAGAGGTCTGCAAACTGTTATTAGCGACACATCTGTATTGTCCTGCATCCGATTTTTGAACATCTGTTATTTTCAAAGTATGATTTCCGTTCTTGGAAGAGACACTCAATCGTAAATTTGCTATTGAATTCAATTCGACGTCATTCTTTGTCCAAGCAACAGCAGGCGTAGGGTATCCAGCCACCAAGCAACTTAATACAACAGTTTGTCCCTTTTTTTTTGTGGTATCAATTGGAGGTTCGGAGATTTCAGGCCCAACTGATATATTAAAAAACATAAAAAAATGAATAAACACACATTAGAATTGCAATTCGAAGCAATATCAAACGTATTTCACAAAATATTGCACCACTTCCTGCTTCAAATGAAGGACTGTGTCCTTTAATAACCATGCAGCTGTGATTTGAATAAAAGCTAAGCGCCCAAAACAAATCAACCTTTTTATTTCAACACTCAAAATATCAACGCCTATATAAACACGTCTGCAATCATCAACAACAGTGATTGAATTTTTCTCAACAAACTAAACAACAAATAGGTTACAATTCTGCTTTTCAAGGATTATTTCCTACCGATAAAGTAACACCTTTGCCATTTACTAAGCTTAAGCCGGCGGTTGCAAAAAAATTGGGCGTAAAGAAGACTCGAATCCATAACCCTGAAATGCATGTACAGCACCACAACTTCTGGGAAACTAGGCATCATGCAAAATGAGAGTAAATGATCCTCATGAAAATCAGCTGCTTGTTCGATTTGGAAGAACTCTGCTGTGCGACAATAGAGTGATAGTTAAGAAAGATTTTCAAAACAGGTTAACTACCCTTGAAGGTTAAATATATACACGCTTCTCAGGCCAAACATATCTTTTCAGTAAATTGACATTTCGCAACAGCTCGTAACCACACTTGTACTCACATTGAACATTTACTATGGCAGCATTGGAGGTAGCACTTCCAACCTCGTTGCTTGCCACACACTGGTAGGCTCCGTTGTCTTTCCTGCTCACATTAACTATTGTCAGCTGTACGTTGTCTCTTGACAAAAGGATTCTCGAATCTTCACTGGGATTTATACCAGATCCATTTTTTTTCCATGATATCCTCAAAGAGCTCCCAGAAGCGTTGCAAAATAGAGTCAAGTTTTCTCTCTCTTTGACCGGACTGGCTTTTGGGTCCTGCTCTATAGATGGTATCACTGCAAAATCAAAAGAGGTCATACGTAAACGTAAAATCTTCTTGTTAGCTCTAAAGCAGATTACTATGTTACAAATTTTCTCTTGCAGGTCTCCACTTAGGCCAGTTACTGCGTTTTATGACTTAATTCCCATCCCTCCTCTGACTGAACGAACGTTGGCGTCTAAACATGCACAACTGTTTTTGTTTTTTCTCCCAAGGATGTTGAGTGAGCTTTTTTTTCTTATTTACATGAGAATAAAATTTTTCGGCCAAACATGTTACTTGCAACACATGTGAGAAGTAGAGGGTCTCAATGGATCAATTGTTAACGGCCGATAGCATTAGCCCTTAGACGTAAAAATTATCGAATTTTAATTGTTAGTCGGAAAAAGATTAGGCTTTGAAAAATTTCTGGTGATCACTGTGGATAGAAAATGAAGTTTAGCCGTAAATTGACCAAAATTTTAACCATTAGCCGTAAAAGCCAACACCCTATTGAGACTCTGGAAGGACCGTAAGAGGAACACGCACAGAACGGTCTTTCAGTGTGTCAATTCACGAGTCAAATTTTGGCCACAAGCTTTTAAAAGATTTGAGCCTGGTATAAAACAGTTCCTCGACTTCACATCGAACTTAATTCTGCTTTTGGTCACTTTCGGCCAAGAAATATATTGACAAACCAAATTGTTTCAAGTCTAAGTCCATTTACATCGCAACATACCTTGAATGACAATCGACGTCCAATTTGAGGAGGAACTACCAACATTATTTGTGACATTGCAGGTGTAATTTCCAGCATCTTCCAAGGAAACTGCGATGATCGACAACTGAGTTTGGCTTTCATTATGATGTGAAATAGTGACACGTGACCCATTCGGAGGCGTAATAAGGGTTGATGCAATAACAATCCCATCTTTTACCCACTGCACCTCAGAAACAGTAGGCAAGGCGTTGAATTGGCATGTCAGCAGTAAATCAGTGCCGTTGGCTAAATACCATTTTTGATCTCCATCGATTGTGACTTCTGGTGCAACTAAAATTCAGTGATACGACATAGAAACCGCTCTTCATTGATAACATCATATTAAAGTTAAGGGAGAACAATTATTGTAAAGCGAGAACTTACCCAGGACCCTTTAATCAAAAACCACAAATCGAAGATTTGAGAGGGAGAAGCTGAGATGTCGAGAACAATTTGGACGCAGCTCCCTGCAGTGTCTGACACATGTATTTAATCCATTGAGGAACTTTTAGCATCATTGGATTCGCATTAATTCAACTTGGTCTTTTGCCATTTTCAGTACGAGAAGAACATTAACCGAAAAGAGAGGTTTTGTCAATAATAATGATCTTTAGAATTTGTGGTCAACGCTGGAGGAAACTCGAATCAAAAAAGTGATCAATACTAGAACGTTGCAAATATACAAATATACACTACTTTGGCACTCACATTGTACTATTAGGGTCGCTGAAGATGAAGTCACGGTATCCAAACTGTTATTGGCTACACATCTGTACTGCCCTGCATCTGATTGTTGAACATTTGATATGTTCAATTGGTGGTCTCCATCATTGGAAGATACACTAAGTCGCACATCTCCTTTCACATTCAATTCCAGTCTATTTTTTGTCCAAACGACATCAGGTGTAGGGTATCCTGCGACTACGCAACTGAAATCAACGGTTTGTTTTTCCTCCTTTGTGCGATTAGTTGGAGGTTCGGAGATTTCAGGTCCAACTAGTAATGTGAAGATAAAAAATTGAAAAACTGAGTCACTGCAAAACCATACGTATTTCACAAAATACAGCAAAAATTGCCGTTTGGTAATTTTTGCTGAAATACTACAACACTGCAACACTGATTTGAATGAAAGTTACTCCGTTTGATAACTGTAAAAAAACAGCAAACGTTAAAAGGAATTGAATAAACAAAAAACAAAACAAAATTGTTAATATCAATAATCTACATCAGTGTAATACTAAAGCAGTAAATAGCGTTGAAGACCCGCCCTGATTGGCTATTAAGCCTCTGAATATCCGCCACTTGCTACCTCCACTTCGGTGAATGCTTGGTTATTTAATAGTATAATAATGTCAACTTAAGAATGCAATCTTTTAACTATCATCTCAAGCCAAGCCAAGCAAGAAAAAAGAAACTTCAAGACTGCTAATAAGTTAAAACGGCCTGGTACGTTTGCTATGTACTTACATTCAACTAGTACAAAGGCAGTGTTAGATGTATCGTTTCCAACCTTGTTGCTCGCCACACATTTGTATTCCCCCTTGTTTACCCTGCTCACGTTCGTTATAATCAAATGTCGATTGCCATCTGAAAAACTGATCCTTGAATCCCTTGAGGTGGTTACATCAATTCCGTTGAATTTCCACGTTATTGTTAGAGAGCTTCCAGAAGAGTTACAAAATAACGTGTCATTTTCTCCCTCCTTGACGGTAACAGTTTCTGGCTGCAATTTGGTGGAGGGCTTCTCTGTGAGAGGACAGAAATACTTTAGTCAGTTATTTGGTATTCCAAGGTATTGTACAATTTTTCTCTTACGTCTTCTTTCGAGGCTTTCTAAAGTGTAGTAAGTTAAACTTTCCTATGATTGACATTTTTTTTTTGTTATTTTTTTAAAATTTGTTTTTTTATTTTTTATTAGTATATGAGGAAGGAATGGTTTTTGTCTAGAAATTGAGATAAGGAATTAAATTTTTTTTTGAATGCATAAATCAAGGCAAATTTTGTTTGACTGATCAAACAAATTTGATGCTCATTTTGACGAGAGAATTTTTTTGTGGCAAAAATAAATTCGTGTAATTGTGTTTACATAGAACTGCTGGGTTGGCTTTTCCTTCCACAGGATAAGATTTTAAACTAACAAAAAAAATTAACCAGGAACAGTAAGAGAAATAATGCCGCGAATATGCTGTACATCATATAATGAACACCGTATACATGCCTTGAATAACAATCGATGTCGAATCTGTTGTACCATTGACTGTATTTGTAACATTGCAGATGTAATTTCCAGAATCCTGTGAGGAAGCTGATGCGATTAACAGCTGTGATAGACTTTCATTATAAAAGATGTCAGTCACTCTTGATCCACTATTAGTCTTAGTGGCATTAACTGCAATCACTTTTCCATTTTTTTTCCACTGCACCCTAGACACAGGCGGTGAAGCGTTATACCGACAGATCAACGTGAACTTCTCGCCTTTAGCTATAAACTGTTCTTGATCACCATCAATTGTAACTTCGGGCTCATCTGAAATTCAAATTAAACTCTTAGGTCAAAGTGACATTTTTTCAAAGCTGTTGTTCTTTTGAGAAAACAAACGCCCGCGAAGGAGACTACGGTGATATGAAATCAACGATTCAAAATGTCACTTCATTATTCAATTCACAGGGCGAGCAGGAATCAAACGGCTGGGAAAGAATCAACAGAAGCCTTTGAAGTCTTTGAGTACTGATCCGAAAAATTAAATTAAATCTCGTAACTCGACCACAAACCCATTCTGTCAGCTCATAATAAACTGTTTTCCTCCCATAAATGATGGTGTAGTAAAATCTGTCATATTCGAATTAGAATATATGACTCGCTTTGTTATTTAACCCTTTAACTCCTAGAAGTGACAAGCATGTAACCTCTCTCCATAAAATCCAGCCATTATTCAGAGGTTTAAAAGTGCAACATAGCTGATTTGATTATCAAACACTACTCCTAAGTGATATCAGCTAATATTAATCTCGCGTTCGTTCGTAAAAAATCGAAAAAGCGCGTTTAGATAGATAGATAGATAACATTGTAAAAAAATCATATGGCAGCCTAATAGGGCTGAATGGCATGATTATTAACAATTCAATACTGGCTAAAATTATATTCACAGAGCATATTATTTACAAGAATGATACAAGAATAATACACAGACCTATTGTTTACACATGGCTGGTAAATATGTCTGGGAGAAACGTTTAATGCGCATTATTGGGTCAACAAACTGACATTGATTTCTAAGATTATAAGTAATATTGGACACTTAGGGAACGTGCAGTGGGTTCAATAATTGCCAGTATCGGAGAGCAGTAAAAAAAAAAAAAGATTGAAAGCTTTCTCACTTTGCTTCTTATTTCTTAATCAAAACAATGGTAAAATTGTGAAAAATGTCCGTCTACGTAAAATGTAAATAAGTTAATTCAAGTATATGAACAGTAAAAGCAGGCAGCTTGCAAGAAGTTCATTTTTGCCGTTCAGCGTAGACTTCGTGGTTAGCCTCTCTATTTTGATATCCTTCCTTCCTTTTACAAATTTAAAATAAATTTTGAGTTAAAACTGCGTGACAGTGCTACAAGCACACCATGGGAAGTTTACACGAGTCAAAGTAGCATTTGCAGCTTGATTACCTTTGCATTTACAATTGTCTAAGCGTCTTAATCATTTCACGTTCAATGTCTAAATAAACATTCTCTTTACTGGGTGCTTTGTACCTACTTATGTGATAGTCCTAGCTTCTGTTCATTATTTCCTTAAGTTTTATCATCTAGTCATTTGTAGACGTGTTGATTTGTAAGGAAAGAATGTAGATTGGTCAACTCTGACAGTGAAAGAATCTGGAAAGTTTACCTAATGTTGCGCGGCGAAATTCATTGGATATTCCATGATGTATTCAAATAAAAAAAATCACAGCATAAAAAGAAGAAATAATAAAAAGCGAATGTTTCAATCAGGAAAAAAAGGCAAATTAACCACACATGACTTTGGAAAGGCCTTGAAAGTGCGTTGCGTTTAAAACGACGCGCACAATGTTTTTGTGCTCTGAATTTTTCAAAAGCGCCTTAAAATTTACAAATTCATCAAGAAAAGTTCTCTTTAATACGCTTATAAATTGCCTTGTATGGTTTTAAACGGAAAAATCCAGCCTTTGTGATCGCCAAACTGAATCATCCGTAGGAGCTGAAATTCAAAATTCCTTAGGGTCATTCAATCGTGAACCGAACAGCTCGATTTACTCCAAACATCAAACTATGTCATGTCTGGTTTAACTTGCTAACAATTCTCAATTTTTATTGCACTTTTTGCTTAAGAATTAAGATTGAAGGTATCTAACCACCATAATTCAAATAAATTGTTTGTTATAATTAGAAAGTATATGAAAGCTGAAGCTGAGACGAGCGCTGTTGGACGTATTAACTAATCGATTTAGCCGTGTTTAAGAGCAAGTTATCGTCTTTCAATTGATGAATGGCAAATCTTGTAATCCAGAAGTTCAAACTAAACTTAAATTACAATCCATCACATCAAACAAATTCACTTAATCACGTGACAGGTATAAGCTCATGCAACACCCGGAAGTTTTGTCATAGATTAAGGAAACATGTTAAGTTGAAACTAAAATCGATCGAAAATGAGCTGGCATTATGGACTCTAAGATATCTCGATGCAAAAGGTGCCCTGGACAGGTTGGTAAGGCTTAAAATCTAGAGATCCCTTCAGTTTTACAATTATGCATGCACAACGCTAGAAGACAGATGCGTGTCGCAGCCTGGATTATTAAACTAGAATGTACTCGCTTAGTTGAAGCACCTAACCTTGATGTGTAAGAGGTACAGCAACTAAAAGAAGAAAAGCTTTTCAACATCAAACTGTCGCGTGTTCCTTCCGTTTAAAGGGCATAGTTATTTTATCGTTTAAGGCAAATTTAAATGCAATAGAATGTAAATTTGCCAAACAACCAATTATAGGAATATTGACAGACATGACGAGTCAATTAAACCTACAAAATCTTTGAAGTCGAGGCCGGCCATCAATATTCAGTCACTTAGAATATAAAAAAGGAGACGGTATTTGGTCGCTAAAGACAGTCTTGATTTTGAAATTGAACGGCGAGGTACACAAGATAGGCGAATGCATCTGACTACAGACCGGGGAAGTTCTATTTCCCGAGATCGCAAACTCCAAGTGGAATCACTTATCGCTATATCACGTTACAAAATGGAAACGTTCGTCTCGACATGTTCCTCTCGAAACTGTAACAAAGCGAAAGTAAGCATCGGTTCGCAGCTATCTTAACATGTTCCTAGTGAATAACTTTCTTGAAGACCATTGTTATCTATGGGCAAAACAAACAAGAAATTTCCAGAGTCGCTATTCTTTTTGGAAACAAACAACGTTATCTTATGACAACAGCAGCTTTGCGGTCTGCGGTCAGAAGTTTTACAATCGGATATGATCAATTTTAAATATTATCAAGAAGGTATATAAATAGAAATTGACACGAGTAAATTTCGGGCAGCTATCAAAGGCCGATGTTTCGTAAAGTCAGCAAATTCCGATAAGTGTTGGCTCTTGGACAACTTGTACGTTAGCAAACTACAGTAAACATAAAAGCTAAGTACATTTTTTAAGTATCAGCAAATATCTTAAGGAATCTCAAAGCGTGCAGCCTAACTGAATTACCAAAAACTTAACAATGGCGATAGAAATCACGTCAATCAATTCCTTTTGCGTCTATCTATTGCTTCCTCTTTCAAGTGATGTATCAGACGCGGGAGGCAAGGCGTTAAACCTGCACGTAAGCAGTAAATTTGTGCTGTTGGCTACATAATGTATTTGATCTCCGTCAATTGTCACCTCTGGTGCAACTGAAATTTAAGAAAATGTTGTAAAACCACTTTTCCTTAATACTCAATTTTACAGTCAGAGTTAGATGCGAAATAACAGTATCTTGCCTACGTCCTTTATAAACAGATGAACTGAGAAGGAGGAAAAGAGGATATGTGAGCTGAAGGCGACTGAGGAAGACTCGCACGATCAATTATCACCCAGATGTCAACTCATTTTGGTCCGTTTTAAAATCCTTAGCAATGTACCACCAGAGGTTGACTGGCTTTAAAAAAACCTGTATAATATGTTATTTGAGGACAACAACGCAAAAGACACAATTAAACATTCAGTACTCCAATACTTCAAAGATAAACCACTGTTAGACTCACATTGCACTGTAAGAGTCGAAGGAGATGACTCTGAGGTCTGCAAACTGTTTTTAGCGACACATCTATATTGTCCTGCATCTGACTTTTGAACATCTGTTATTTTCAAAGTGTGATTTCCGTCCTTGGAAGAGACATTTAGTCGTAAATTTGCTGTTACATTTAATTCGACGCCATTCTTTGTCCAAGCAACCGCAGGTGCAGGGTATCCAGCCACCATGCAACTGAATACAATAGTCTGTCCTTCCATTTTCGTGTTATCAATTGGAGGTTCAGAGATTTCAGGCCCAACTGATATATAAAAAAAGCATAACAAAATGAATAAATAAACGCATAAGAATTGCAAGTCACTGTAATATTAAACGTATTCACAAAATATTGCACCCCTTGTCACTTTAAGTCAAGGATAGTGTACTTCCATAACTATGCAGCTGTGATCTAAGTTAACGCTAAGTGAACAACAAAAAATCAACCTTTTTCCTTCAACACTCAAAACATCAACGCCTACATAAACAGGTCTGCAATCATCAACAATAGTGATTGTTTTTTTCTAAACTAACAAAACAACAAATAGTTTGCAATTTTGCATTAAGGATTATTTCGTTCCGATAAAGTAACAACCGTTGCCATTTATTCAGTCTAAGTTGGCAGTTGCAAAAATATCGGGCGTAAAAATTGGGCGTTAAAAATATTCGAATCCAGAAGCCCGAAATGCTTATACAGCACCCCAACCTCTAGAAAACTAAGCATCATGCAAAATGAGAGTAAAAAATCCTCATGACAATCAGCTGCTTGTTCGATTTGAAAGAACTCTGCTGTGGCACATTAAAGTCAAAGTAAAGAAATATTTGCCTAAACAGGTCAATCACCCTTGAAGGTTAAATATTTACATATACACATATACATATTAAATACATATTAAATCTATTTGTCGCTTCTCAGGCCAAACATATGTTTTCAGTAAATTGACATTTCGCAACAACTCGTTAAACCATAACTGTACTCACATTGAACATTTACTATGGCAGCATTGGAGGTAGCAACTCCAACCTCGTTGCTCGCCACACACTGGTAGGCTCCCCTGTCTGTTTTTCTCACATTAACTATTGTCAGCTGTACGTTTTCTCTTGACAAAAGGATTCTCGAATCCTCGCTGGAATTTACATCAGATCCATTTTTTTCCCATGATATCCTCAAAGAGCTTCCAGAAGCGTTGCAAAATAGAGTCAAGTTTTCTCCCTCTTTGATCGGACTGGCTTTTGGGTCCTGCTCTATAGAAGGCGTCACTGCAGAATGCAAAGAGCTCATACATAAATGAAAAATCTCCTCAGCTCTACAGCAGTTTTGCATGTTACAAATTTGCTCTCCCAGGTGTCCCTTAAGCCGGTTATTGCATTTTAGGACTAGATTTTCACCCCTCCCCTGACTAGACGAACATTGGCGTCTAAACATGCATGGAATTTCCCAATGATGTTGGTAATTTATTTTCTTATTTACTTCAGAATAAAAATTTTCTCGAGGTACCCTAAGGTCTTAGAGGACTGACGCACAGATCGGTCTTTCAATGTGTGACATTTCATGAGTCAAATTTTGGCCACACGCTTTTTAAAAGATTGATCTTGGACTATAAAACATTCCTTCAACTTCACACCGAACTTTTGACTTTGGTCACCTTTGGCCAAAAAATAAATAAACAAACCAAAAACAAACAAACAAACAATTACAAAACACAGCAAGAAGATCCTGAATGGGATAAGTACGGCTGAGCAATTTTTACAGGAAAGGAAAAAATGTTTTCATGTTCAAGTTTATTTACATGGCAACATACCTTGAATGACAATCGATGTCCAGTTCAAAGAGCTACCAACATTATTTGTAACATTGCAGGTGTAATTTCCAGTATTTTTCAAGGAAACTGCGATGATCGACAGCTGAGCTTGGCTTTCATTTTGGTGTGAAATAGTCTCACGTGACCCATTCAAAGGCGTAGCAAGGGTTGATGCAATTAGAATCCCATCTTTTACCCACTGCACTTCAGAAACGGTAGGCAAGGCTTTGAATTGGCATGTCAGTAATAGATCAGTGCCGTTGGCTAAATACCGTTTTTGATCTCCAATGATTGTGACTTCTGGCGCAACTAGAATTCAATAATACGACATAGAAACTGTTCTTTAGTAATAAGATCATATTGAAGTTAACGGAGATCATTGTAAAACGAGAACTTACCTAGGACCCTTTGATAACAGAAACCGCAAGTCAAAAATTTGAGAAGAAGAAGCTAAAAAATCGAAAACAAATTTGACGCTGTTCCCGTCAATGTCCAGCACATATATTTAATCCATTGAGGAACTTCAAGTATAGCATCATTGGCTTTGTCAATAACATCGATATATAGAATTTGTGATCAACGCTGAAAGAAACTGGAATAAAACAGTAGTGAACACTAGAACGTTACAAAGATAAACTACTTTGACACTCACATTGTACTGATAGGGTCGCTGGGGATGAAGTCGCGGTATCCAAACTGTTTTTAGCAACACATCTGTATTGTCCTGCATCCAATTGTTGAACATTTGATATAGTCAAATGGTGGTTTCCATTATTGGAAGATGCATTAAGTCGCACATCTCTTGTCAAATTCAATTCCACTCCATTCTTTGTCCAAGCGACATCAGGTGTAGGGTATCCTGCTACTACGCAACTGAACTCAACGGTATGTCCTTCCTCTTTTGTGCGACTAGTTGGAGGTTTGGAGATTTCAGGTCCAACTAGTAATATGAATATGAAAAAATCAAAATTAATTCACTGCAAAACAATACACATTTCGCAAAATACTGCAAGAATCGCCGTTTGTCTTTCCGTAACCCTGCAACACTGATTTGAATGATAGTTATTCTGTTTGATAACTGTAAAAGACAGCAGGGATTAAAAAATCGATTTGAATTAAAACGATTACAAAATTGTTTATATCAATAATCCACATTACTATAATACTATATCGGTAGACAGCGTTGAAGGCGTGCGCTGATTGGCTTTTGAATCTCCGAATATCCTTTTCTAATCACCTCCGAGCAAGGAGCGCGGGATTCTTGTCTGAGAATATTGTAATAATTAAAGGAATAGATGAGTTAAAACCATCTTTTTGTGTCATATTATCGCACTGTTTTAGTATATCCGAAAAGAAATACATTTCACCTCAGCATCGGCGGCTAGAGGTGGATATTAACCGGCTCGCCGCTTCGCAGTTTGGTAAATATCCGCCACTCCCCACCTCCACTTCGGTGAATACTTGTTAATTTAGTAGACTGTATAAGTATGTCAACTTAAGAATGCAATTTTTGTCCACTATCATCTTAAGCCTAGCCAAGCAGGAAAACAGAAACTTCAAGGCTGCCAACAAGTTGAAACGGCCTGTTACGTTTTCTCTGTACTTACATTCAACAGACACAAAGGCAACATTAGATGTGTAGTTTCCAACCTTGTTGCTCGCGACACATTTGTATTCCCCTTTGTTTACCCTGCTCACGTTCGTGATAATCAAATGTCGATTGTCATCTGAAAAACTGATCCTTGAATCCCCTGAGGTGGTTACATCAGACCCGTTGAATTTCCAGGTTATTGTTAGAGAGCTTCCAGAAGAGTTACAAAATAACGTGACATTTTCTCCTTCATTGACGGTAACAGTTTCCGGCTGCAGTTTGGTAGAGGGCTTCTCTGTAAGAGGGTACAATTATTTTAGTCAGTTACTTGGTATTCCAAGGTATTTAACAATTTTACTCCTACGTCTTCTTTCGAAGCCTTCTAAAGTGTACTAAGTTAAACTTTCCTTTGATCAATTTTTTTTGTTTATTTTTTAATTTTGGTTTTTATAAGAGGAAGGAATGGTTGTTGTCTAAAAATTATGGCAAATTTGTTTGACTGATCAAATAATTTCATTCTCATGTTGACGAGAGAATTGTTTTGTGGCAACGGTTTTGTTTTGGAGAGGGCGAAAAAGGCACATGCCTTTAGAACCCCTAAAAAAAGGATCGATTACAGATCACAAGTAAAATCTGTCATATTCGAATTAGAATATATGACTCGCTTTGTTATTTAACCCTTTAACTCCTAGAAGTGACAAGCATGTAACCTCTCTCCATAAAATCCAGCCATTATTCAGAGGTTTAAAAGTGCAACATAGCTGATTTGATTATCAAACACTCCTCCTAAGTGATATCAGCCAACTGATTACTCTCACGTTCGTTCGTAAAAATCGAAAAAGCGCGTTTAGATAGATAGATAGATAGATAGATAGATAGATAGATAAATAGATAGCTTTATAAAAAATCACACGGCAGCCTAATAGGGCTGAATTGCATGATTATTTACAGTACAATAATGGCTAAAACTATAAATTACATTTACAGAGCATATTATTTACAAGAATAATACGAGAATAACACACAGACCTATTGTCTACACATGGCTGGTAAATGTGTTTGGGAGAAACGCTTAGTGCGCATTATTGGGTTAACAAACTGACATTGATTTCTAAGATTATAAGTAATATTGGACACTTAGGGAACGTGCAGTGGGTTCAATAATTGCCAGTATCGGAGAGCAGTAAAAAAAAAAGATTGAAAGCTTTCTCACTTTGCTTCTTATTTCTTAATCAAAACAATGGTAAAATTGTGAAAAATGTCCGTCTACGTAAAATGTAAATAAGTTAATTCAAGTATATGAACAGTAAAAGCAGGCAGCTTGCAAGAAGTTCATTTTTGCCGTTCAGCGTAGACTTCGCCTCTCTATTTTGATATCCTTCCTTCCTTTTACAAATTTAAAATAAATTTTGAGTTAAAACTGCGTGACAGTGCTACAAGCACACCATAGGAAGTTTACACGAGTCAAAGTAGCATTTGCAGCTTGATTACCTTTGCATTTACAATTGTCTAAGCGCCTTAATCATTTCACGTTCAATGTCTAAATAAACATTCTCTTTACTGGGTGCTTTGTACCTACTTATGTGATAGTCCTAGCTTCTGTTCATTATTTCCTTAAGTTTTATCATCTAGTCATTTGTAGACGTGTTGATTTGTAAGGAAAGAATGTAGATTGGTCAACTCTGACAGTGAAAGAATCTGGAAAGTTTACCTAATGTTGCGCGGCGAAATTCATTGGATATTCCATGATGTATTCAAATAAAAAAAATCACAGCATAAAAAGAAGAAATAATAAAAAGCGAATGTTTCAATCAGGAAAAAAAGGCAAATTAACCACACATGACTTTGGAAAGGCCTTGAAAGTGCGTTGCGTTTAAAACGACGCGCACAATGTTTTTGTGCTCTGAATTTTTCAAAAGCGCCTTAAAATTTACAAATTCATCAAGAAAAGTTCTCTTTAATACGCTTATCAATTGCCTTGTATGGTTTTAAACGGAAAAATCCAGCCTTTGTGATCGCCAAACTGAATCATCCGTAGGAGCTGAAATTCAAAATTCCTTAGGGTCATTCAATCGTGAACCGAACAGCTCGATTTACTCCAAACATCAAACTATGTCATGTCTGGTTTAACTTGCTAACAATTCTCAATTTTTATTGCACTTTTTGCTTAAGAATTAAGATTGAAGGTATCTAACCACCATAATTCCAATAAATTGTTCGTTATAATTAGAAAGTATATGAAAGCTGAAGCTGAGACGAGCGCTGTTGGACGTATTAACTAATCGATTTAGCCGTGTTTAAGAGCAAGTTATCGTCTTTCAATTGATGAATGGCAAATCTTGTAATCCAGAAGTTCAAACTAAACTTAAATTACAATCCATCACATCAAACAAATTCACTTAATCACGTGACAGGTATAAGCTCATGCAACACCCGGAAGTTTTGTCATAGATTAAGGAAACATGTTAAGTTGAAACTAAAATCGATCGAAAATGAGCTGGCATTATGGACTCTAAGATATCTCGATGCAAAAGGTGCCCTGGACAGGTTGGTAAGGCTTAAAATCTAGAGATCCCTTCAGTTTTACAATTATGCATGCACAACACTAGAAGACAGATGCGTGTCGCAGCCTGGATTCTTAAACTAGAATGTACTCGCTTAGTTGAAGCACCTAACCTTGATGTGTAAGAGGTACAGCAACTAAAAGAAGAAAAGCTTTTCAACATCAAACTGTCGCGTGTTCCTTCCGTTTAAAGGGCATAGTTATTTTATCGTTTAAGGCAAATTTAAATGCAATAGAATGTAAATTTGCCAAACAACCAATTATAGGAATATTGACAGACATGACGAGTCAATTAAACCTACAAAATCTTTGAAGTCGAGGCCGGCCATCAATATTCAGTCACTTAGAATATAAAAAAGGAGACGGTATTTGGTCGCTAAAGACTGTCTTGATTTTGAAATTGAACGGCGAGGTACACAAGATAGGCGAATGCATCTGACTACAGACCGGGGAAGTTCTATTTCCCGAGATCGCAAACTCCAAGTGGAATCACTTATCGCTATATCACGTTACCAAATGGAAACGTTCGTCTCGACATGTTCCTCTCGAAACTGTAACAAAGCGAAAGTAAGCATCGGTTCGCAGCTATCTTAACATGTTCCTAGTGAATAACTTTCTTGAAGACCATTGTTATCTATGGGCAAAACAAACAAGAAATTTCCAGAGTCGCTATTCTTTTTGGAAACAAACAACGTTATCTTATGACAACAGCAGCTTTGCGGTCTGCGGTCAGAAGTTTTACAATCGGATATGATCAATTTTAAATATTATCAAGAAGGTATATAAATAGAAATTGACACGAGTAAATTTCGGGCAGCTATCAAAGGACGATGTTTCGTAAAGTCAGCAAATTCCGATAAGTGTTGGCTCTTGGACAACTTGTACGTTAGCAAACTACAGTAAACATAAAAGCTAAGTACATTTTTTAAGTATCAGCAAATATCTTAAGGAATCTCAAAGCGTGCAGCCTAACTGAATTACCAAAAACTTAACAATGGCGATAGAAATCACGTCAATCAATTCCTTTTGCGTCTATCTAATGCTTCCTCTTTCAAGTGATGTATCAATCCTTCAAATATGATTGATTTACTTTTTTTCTTAATTTGAGCCAAATTCAGTCGTAGTGATTCAAAATATATCTTCAGATACTCCTTGAAAGTCAAATGTGTGAGCGAGCCTTTCCCTTTTGACGCGTTTAAATGAACAGGCACAAAAAGGAAAAGATTCCAAACATCGATAGACAAATTAAAATAGGATGTTCTTTTTTTTGGAGCTTGCTAGTGGGAATGAATGAAAGCGCAATCTCGTTCTGTTTAGAGTACATGAATTGACAGACAGTCCAAGCTCCAGATGTGAGATGATCATCTTGCGAAATAGGATTCATGGCGAAATTATAAGAGTTTGTTTTATAAAATAATTCAAACAGTACGCGCGCTCTGATTGGCCATAAAACCATTTTACATGAGCGTATGTAAACACGGTTTTCGTTCCTCTTTCATTAGTTATTTTATAAAAGAAATGTAAAATGGTTTCTGTGTTTATATAGCCTGATGTAAACACTTGGGAGGTTGGGAGAACACGAGATAAGCTGGAAACCACTCCGCTTCGCGTCGTGGTTTCCTACGCTTATCTCGTGTTCTCCCAACCTCCCGCGTGTTTACATCAGGCTATGTAAACACGGAAACCATTTTACATTTCTTCATTAATCATGAAAATGATAGCAGTGCAGGCATGTCAACCGTGATTAGTACACTAAACATTCCTTAAAGAGATTAAAGGAGCAAATTTTAATTATTATTGAGGCAAAAATATAGCAGAGCATCCACTTTGTTTACGACGGTATACTGTACTCAAAGAAAATTTAAAGCTTCTGACTCTGCTAGAGTCTTGTTCACGGTGAATTGGTCAGATTACGAGACAAGTGACGTGATCAACCCAGTTCTGATCTTTAGAGGGTTTAACCTCCCTCCTCTCCTCGTCTCTATTCATACCAGTGATATCGCATGGCATGTAAATTTAGTGAAAACAAGGCTCAAACAGAGCCAAAGATTGCCATTTTTTATTATTATTATTTATTTATTAATCTTTTTTATTTTTTTATTTTTTGCGCCCTGTAACGTCAAGAATTTAAGACCTTGACAAAAACAACTCCATTTCAATTACTTAAGAAATAGCTATTATCTTCTCAATATCATAGATAAATTTACATAACCATGATAAAGTTATCACAACGTTCGGCAAACGATATTCATAAATCTCTCTCTCTCCCTTTAGAAAAATTATTTCTCTAATCATCTGACCTAAAAATTATTTGCCTTTGAATGAATGAATTTTTCGTTGCGTGACAGTAAGAACAACCTATTGTTTCACGAAGCCATTCCTAGTAAAAGCATGGAAATGATTTCTCCTAATTACCTTCATACAACGCGTTTCCCCTAATTTAAGAGCTTGTGCGGATGCAAATCAAACAACTATTGTTGCTTCAAGTCTTAGCGATGAGTATATTACTAAACTGAGGATCAGCACACCGCGGAACCTTTGGAACCTGGGTAACCATTATTTTTTTGTTAACAAAAATAATTAATGATGAAATAAAATAAAAACTAAAATACCCTAACATTGTTCGATCGATATTCCGTTTTCGCTTATAAAGAAGATAACGTTAAAATAGAAATATGTTTTTTTTTTTATGTACCTTGACATCCAAATAAAGTATTCTTCTTTAATACCCG